TGACCAGCTCTCCCCCCCCGCCATTTCATACATCTCATTCCAAGTAAGAAAGAGGAAAATAATGTAGGGACGGAAACCAGTCTAACATTGCACGGGTCGCCCCTCGGACACGAAATTCGTGTTTCGCAAAATGACAGACGTTAATACGCTACAAGAAAGGGATTTGTGCAGATACTACGGAATGTTTCATATTCGGTCAATTGTATTCGCCTCGTGAAACCGAAAATTTCATCCGTCACCTCACGAAATCATGCTTACCATTACACTGGTAAGCATTCATCATTTGTATACAAGTACTGACGGTGCGTGACCATTAATCATAACTGACTGAAACTGCATTCATTTAATCAGTGTTAAAATAGGCGGGTTTTCTTTCTTTTAATGTAAATCAGCCGATTTGTCCTATAATTATAGAATCAATTCAATGGGTATCAATTCACATTTGTATAAGCTCAGGATGAAGGAAAGGGGAATGGCTTATGACTAGGGCAGTAGGGCTCCTACGGTACACTAGATTTACTGTTAATAGCCGAAATTCATTCCCTCGAAAAACATGCAAAAACCTCAAATTCTGAAGGTGTATAAATTGTGATTTTATTTCAATAAATGTTCTTTCCGGTGTTGTGGAGACGAAATAGGCGCTTAAAAGGTTATGCATGCCCCTTCAACATCTTTTGGGCCACCTTCCAAATATCAGCTTCCAGCCAAATCAATTTTCAACATTAAAATTCTCTTGGAAACATATGGAGATAATTATTTTGAACTGTACAATGTACAACGAGACAATGTGCTGGATACTGTAAACTTAAGGAATCCAAGTCGTGAAGCCTGGCGCCATAAACCACGGGGAGAATTTGGATGGTCCCCTTTATCTGGCTTCTTCATCTTCTTTATGAACCAGAATGTGTGTTTTAGGGTGTGCACACACCTTTAAACTTGAAGAATAATGAACACAGTGTCATTTTTCTTTGTTTGGCAGTTTGTTTTCAACTTAGTTTACCCGTCTCCTATATTTCCAGTGACCCAGAAACTGGTCTAACAGGAAACTTGCATTGCATTATTCACGAGACGGTCATTGATGTGATCCCTAAATCCACTTTATTGACTGACACTCTAAAGTGGGAGGGAGCCCGACTATTTTTGCTTCAGCTTCAGGTTATAGCCTTATATATTTTGAAAAATTTGTTGTCACAATAAAAGTGACGCTTCTGCATTCATTCTCACACATACTCAGTTTTTTTTTTAAATTTTACAAGGTTCGCCTGGTTTTCAATTTAAGATGGGCGACTTATCAATAGGGTCAATACATATTAAATCCGGTTAACCACAATGCGGGCTGACAACTGTGAATAAGATTTGTATGTGAGAAGAGACGTTCTTTTGTCAAAAAAAAAAACAACTTAATGTTCCACTCCATGGCCAGGACAGAACATGGACGGCTGGAGCAAATCATGCTTTTTATTTCTCTTATGTAGTTGTGTGTGGGTGTGTGGATGTGCAGCAGGCGTGGCATACATGGTGTGGACCTCTGCACAAAAGAAGTCCACATAATGTAGGGTGCCATGGCGTTATGTGGACTCGCACAAGCCCATACAATGTTTTTCCCTCTCGGAAAAACTGTTTCAGAGGCATTTGGGGTCAGGGTTATCTGCTGCAAAATGAAGAGTAACATTCCAGGAAATCATCATCAAAAATCCAGCCCGAAGGAGTTATCCTAGTTGGAGAAAAAGGAGCATTTTCCTCAAGTTTACCTGTTTTACATACAAAGTGTGGACATTCATTGTTTCTCGTTTTAGTTCTCTTTTTATTTCTCTTTTTTCAGGTGAACTTGTGTATTTGTGTGTGAGAAATTCCTCCGGTGTGAAAGAGAGAGAATAACCTGAAATGCGCGAGTTGCATGCTCAACGCTTTGGAGGACCCGATATTGGCACGCAAACATGAACTTGAGGTTGCAACCACAGATTGTATAGCGCGGCGCTATACAATCTTTGGTTGCAACAGTGAGCCGCGAAATGCGCCCTCACTCGTCCACGTAAACTGATTAGCGGACTCGCTTAGACTTCCAGTTTCTATTAAAACATTAATGAAAAAAGTGCTGCCCTGAAAGCTGATGAAAACCCCAAAGTGCACACGTTAGCAACAACAAAGCGACAAAAGGTCAAAGTTATGTCATCGGCGCGTTGATTCCAGCGAAAAATGGCCTATAACTTGCGATTTAAGTTGCTCCTCACCGGGGATTCTGGCGTTGGGAAGACTTGCATCATGACTAGATTCGCAGAGGACGGATTTTCCAACTCGTTCATTTCTACTGTCGGTAAGAATTTAGCCATCTGGTGTTCCCCAAAGCGCGCTGAAAAATATCAACGCCAAAAATATATGCCCGTAATACACTTGGCTCCATTGGGCACAGACTGTTATTGCTTACATTGTGAACCAAAATGCACTTGTACTTCAACCCTTTGACTGTTGAGGCACGCATTTTTTTTCATGGTGTATTGTTATCGATTTTCTCGTTCAACTTCAGAGTCCGATGATGCAAAGATCTATACTACTTTTAACTCTGATGGCTCTATATTTTTAAGCAATTGGCGGGACGAAAATGATCTGTTGATGTGACTTTTGTTGTTAAAACGACTTCTTCAGGTTTTGGGGACAGTCTCGTATTTTGTTACATGCATGCACACATTTTACAATTGTAAACATTCTTGTCGAGGAATCATATTTAAAACACAATGATCTATTAAATGGATTGTGTGAATCCATAAGTGTTTATTCAAGAATTGGACTTTCGACAAATAACGTAAACTTTGCACCATGCATGCATGCGCACGTGAATACATACCCCAGACCAAGATGGCGGATGTTTTAGAAACACCAGTATACGACCTTTACCTTAAGCTTATTCTGGTGGGTGACTGCCATGTCGGTAAGACCAGCATTTTGCTGCGATATGCGCAAGACGAGTTCCGTCGGTCACTGCTATCCACCATAGGTGAGATATCAGCTGGCTCGCCCAATCAAAATTAATATTTTCACAACCTCCCTCCTACCGTTCAAAATGTGCTGATTCTCATTTAGTGGTTACCTCCACGTTCTGTCGTGTATGTCCTCTTTTGTTTCTGTTTTCTGTGAGTGCACCCCCACTGCGTTATTATTTGTGCACTCTCTCCCAACTTTTAATTGCAGTGGACAAAATATTTTAAAATTTGCTCTTTGATCGATCTACCTTGTTTATTCCCTTCTGTTAGCCACGCCAGTATGTGTCCCTCACGCCAACATTTATGATGTGTGTTATTTATGGCATTAATTATTAGTAATGGCATTTTTCTTTTTCTTTTGTTTTGTTTTGTTTTTTGCTGCGGCAGTATTGCAAAGAAACATGTATGGGGAGTTTGATTCACATGTAGGGACAAAACAATGCACGTGATGGGAGGGTAAAATACCTGTCACAAGAGATCGTGGAGGAAGTGTCACAGCTATCAGACTGCAAAACTTTGTGGTTTTCTTGCCGTCTGAATCCACGCACATACAATGTACATGTACATATTCAGTGCGCTCGTGTCATACGCTCGCAGAAGTTTTGACCCGTGTTATTGTTCAAATAAACTTTATCCAATGACAAAATTCAATACAGGCGATTCACATTAGTGCTCCTCCAAGAATTTGCAAGCCGTTGACCAATCACCACTGATAACAGTGAGCGAAATCTGTCGACCCTTTCCAAACGCGCACTGGGTAGACAAGTTTCGCGCACTGTGATTGGTCATGCAACGCGTTGCAAACTCGTGGAGGCGCACTATTTTGAACGCCTGTATTGATACAAATTAATACTACGGCATGCATTTGTCCTTCCCGACGCCCCGTACTGCTCTGTAACTTGGCTGATGGAGTCCAGCAAAGAGGCCACATAACAGCGCCCTCCTTTAACTCATTCAACTGGGAGATAGGTATTTTAAAGGAATATCTCCACTCAGCAAAGTTGCGTAACTCTAGGAACACGCGTGCGTGCGTGCGCGTCGGTGCCCTCAACCGGGAGCCAGTTTAAAATCTTCAAGCGAGTGGAAAATGAAATTCGACAAGCAGGATTAGAAGCCATTAGTGCGATGGCACCGTGCTTTAGCGATTTTATACTTCTTTTGAAAAACCACAACCTCCACAACCACGATTATCGCCTTTACTCAAGTGAGGTCCTCCCAGCGTGTTATGAAAAATGGTTTTACTGCCAGTCTTTAGAGGAGACTAGTCCCTCGCCACGTTGGAAGCTTCCTCTGTCGAAATGTCGGGCTTTATAGTCATGGCTCTGGAGGATTTCTTTTTCAAAAGGAAATTGAAAACGAAATCCTTCGGAGCCATGACTGTAGCCTTTACTCAAGTCAGGTTTTAATCCCCAGCGTGTTGTATAAAAAGGGGGGAAAACGCGTCCGGTGGAACACTACAACCGAACTGTAAAAAATTCATGCATTCCTCATGTCAGTTTACCATATGCGGGCCTGCTTACTTCGACCACCTTACTCTTACTCTGTACCCTTTTTTAGTAAGTTTAAACTGAATTAATATGCTTAATTACATATATTTCTGAACTGATTTGATCTTTGTGGATCATGTGCCATGCAAATTTACTTTATTTTACTTGCTCGTTGAATCAGAAGGTTTAAGCAAAAAAATGTTTGGAAAAATAAATAAATAAACAAAGTGTGTGGTTGTTACGTCATAAATCTGTTCTCATCCCATTCCCGATGGACGTTCTCATAAAAACTCTATCGACAGCTGCAAATCTGTTCCAACCGCCATTGCAAACACACCAGCTGATGATGCTTGTGACAGCGGCATCTGGACGTGTTGACGTAAGCGGAAGTTACAATAAATTATTCAAATAAGGGTGTTTCCCAGTTTGTTAGCTGGTATCCAGTAACCGCTCTGTTTCTTGCTATGGATAATATTATTGTAACGTAAAAAGAGGCGGGGATAAGACTGTTTCAAGCTGCGTACAAAATCATGTTATGGGGAATTTATATAGCGGGTACCAGGGCTCCAAGGAGTGCAGTACCATGTAGCGAGAAATATGGCGAAAACTTACGATTTCCTCTTCAAGTTACTTTTAATTGGTGATTCTGGAGTCGGAAAAACTTGTGTACTTTTCAGATTTTCGGAAGATGCCTTTAATTCAACGTTCATTTCAACGATAGGTAAGGAGAAGTCGATTTTTGAAACTTAAAGTGCTTCGTTGCAGCACAGGACGAGGGACCCGATCGGCCATGGAACGTCGAACGTGCATTTGATTGCACGTTGATACGACTGTAGGCCTACATCAGTACTGTACATGTACACGCGTATCGTCGGTCACTGTCGATACATGATGTAGGGTACTTTCTATAGCCGAGGCCGAGTGTGATGAAACGTAAACCTACATTACAATGTTTATGTGTACATGAACGTTTGCGTGTAGCCCACTTAGTACATGCAATTTGTACGGTACTCAACATCATGCTCATACTTGACATAGGCCTACATGTACCTAGGCCCTATTTCAACTTTAACATGTTTAGCATGTTTAGTCTGGCTTGTCTGGTTAGGCCTAAATTGAACTTGAAGTTGAAACTTGGCCTAGCTATGCCAGTCCAAGACTGAGTAATATTACAGTGGAACGCTGCTATAACGAACAAGACGGGTCCACATTAAATGTTTGGTACAGCGGTCGTTCAGTATAGTGTATTTAACTGCCGAACATTTTGTTGCCATGTTGAGTAGCACCCTCTCTTGTCTAACTGAAGTGCACCCTCTTGTGATACCTTGGTTCGCTGTTTTCGTGATATTTTGCCGTTGCATTCAAGTTTAAGGTTTCTAGAAATGTATCTGATAATTGTTTTTGTTTTTTATTTAAACTTGAGTCAAAAAATTGATATCAAGTTTATCCTAAAAGTCGTGAAACTACCGCTCAGGATCGATCTCTGATGCATGCTGTGGTGAATCTTGGTTGATTTGTGTATCAGCGGCGCCCTCTTTAGTTTTCGTCCGCGCCGGATCATGTGGAGCCGCAAAACCAGTGTCTATTCAATACCATTGACAACTAGTGGCTTTCCCTTCTAATCCTTGGGGAAATAATGGCCGCTTATCACTTTCTAACATAAAAAAACACCGACTGTTTTAGCATGTTGACGTTCAGGAATAACAAACGGCAACTGAATAGTTTTCGGTAGGTTTTGTGCTCAAATTATTGGGAGCCAAGGACGATGTTCGGTACAGCCGAATGTTCGATATAGTGGCGTTCGGTATAGCGGCGTTCGGTATAGTGGCGTTCGGTATAGCGGCGTTCGACTGTACTCTGTATGTAAATGCAGTCTGTCAGATGTTTACAGGTTGATCTTTGATTGAATTCTTACTACGCGCTTTGCATTTGTATGACATTGTGTGTGGAAGAAGGTTACTGAAAACAAGTCAGGAAACACAGAGAAAGATTTGGCACTTTTGCTCACTGCTAGACATTGCTGGAATCAGTGGGTCAAGCATACACATGGATGAATGGCTAAAGGCTTGACACCAGCATTGACAGTTTTGAAGTACTGGAGACGTGATTTGAAGCTGTCAACTTCTGTGATAACACATTTCTGCTCAAGTAAATATCGTCACACACTGTGTTTACTTCAAAAGTAAACTCTAAATTTCATTTCTGTATGAAATCAATATACTTGTCTGTGCATCTTCCTGCATATACGGTTTAACTGCAGGATGACACCTGAATCCTGAACTTCCCAAACATCTCCGATGAACGGCTGAGGCATGAAACATGACTCTTGAAAATGCTGAGCCTTGGAACATGTACATTTGTACTGAAAGTAGACTTGAAATGAAGTTTTTTGCAGTCTCGTCATGTGTTGTGAATAGTTTGTACAGATTTGTAGTTTACATGTATTTTGTTAAAACATCTCTCCTGCTACATGTATGATTAGATACTATTTAATAATTTAAGTCCATGAATAAAGTGAATAATCCAGTTCAGTGCATGGAACCAGCCTGAGGCAACCTGTGCCTTTTTTCCCAATACTCATTTTTTGAAAATGACAAGATATATTGAGCTAGTGTACATTTTAAAATGAAGTCACAGTTCTCAGATAGTGACTCTTGACAGTCATTTGCATACAAGGACACGCTCAAACAATATTTCTCACTGTAACCTCATTTTTGGAACACTTTGAGGCTGTGCCTGCAAGTAAATAGCGATATTAGTTTATGTTAGCTACAGCGGCAGGCTTGGCACTGTAGTTGAGTCAGGGTACCACACCTGGTCAACCTCAATGGACCCTCTGGTCGGTTTAGAACCTGTATGTGTACAAAAGCCACAACCGGGAACCAGAGGGGCAAAGAGGCAAGTGTACACGTCACCGTACAGCAAATAAAACTGGATAATTTCATGCACAGGCCTTCCGTGTACAAAAATTGCCCTAGCATGTTTGAGTTTATGCATCCTCCAATATGTCCAAGGCCAAGGCATCACAGTATACACGTACATGTACATGTATATGCACACACATAGTTTTGAGTGATGTTTTTTGAACAGTGATGTGTTCTATCAGTTAATGCTGCTTTTGTCTGGCGTGTTTTATGCCTTGGGAGTCACCATGGCAATTACCCAGTTCCAGCAAACTTGGGAATGTTAACAGATTATAATTTATAATGTTGCATTGGTAGATAGATTTCAGGTGCTGTTGTTTGAGTTAAGGGAGAAATGTCAAAAATTAAATGCTTTATGCAAAAAATGCAAAGAACAGACACCCTAGTGGGTAAAATTTCTACTGCCATGAGGCAGCCATTGCACACATGAAGGTACACTGTAACACAAATGGACATGAACCTGCACACACAAGTAGTGTTATCCCACTTAAGGAACATTGAATTTAAGTGTAAAAACTTGTGCTATTTCTTGATTGAGTAATAGTTTGTATTTCTGTCGTATCACCTGACTCATGTCAAAAATGTGTAAAGAACGGATTTTGTCAGCGTATAGTTCCATTCATGTACAGTGTCACTGTAAATGCCACATACATGAACATGTATGAACATGTGTAATAACACTAAGTTTGCCATGTTGAAGTGACGGTGCTAAAATGTGACGGTGTCAAAAGGCAACAAAATCCAGTGTCCCATTTCAGCTGGGCACTCGTGACAGCTTAGATTGGTTTTGCTGCATTCTGTAGCGGTTTTATTTCAGCTGAGTTGCAGTTTACTGTAGTAGCAGGTTGTCCAGAGCAACCCTTTTGGGTTCTGGGTAATAATTATACTTAAAATGGTGACTCATAATACTCTTGCCCCTCATTCGTGAGCAGCTTGACCCGTATTGTAACATTTTGTCAATTTTCCTCCTGAATGTCACTACCTCTGGCACTTTCAACTTTGTTTGTCTTCTTTCCAACATACATGTACATATTGCATTAACAAAGACTTGGCCTGCAGTACATAAATGTACGTGTACAATTGTACATGATGTACCTGTATTATTTCCAAAAATTTCCAGTTTGTTCAAATGAACTTTGGTTGACACTCCCAATAAAAGACTGCATTAGGATAAAAGCAAAGAGTAGATGTACAGTACATAATGGATCAGGCCAAAAAGTCAACACGAAAAATAGTTCCGTGTCCTATTACATGGCATCTGAAAATAGGGCAGGTAGGTCGGAATGGTTTTCTTGTCACTTTTTTGGTTTCCAGTTTTGGATTCAGTGTGTAGCTGAGCGTGAACGGGTTAAAAAATAACAGCAGAAAAGGTTGAACGGGATCCGATGGTATTTGTTTTGAATGAAATGAACAAAACTGTATTTCATTGAATAAAATAAATAAATAAAATTCAATAAATTTCCAGGATAAAATGGAACCAGGGCTGCAGTTTATATTGATCTTTTACTTTTCCAGTTCTGAACTTCTTTTTCAAAAACTTTTTTGGCCAACTGTCTGAATGTAAATGCCTTATGATTTTTAAAATGTGCAGATGTGTACAATGTACATGTACATGTATGGCTAAAACTGACGCTGTACCTCTTAACGTTGCAGCAAGAAGTAGTGTTACATTCAAAAAGAAAATGTTCAAAATGTGCGAAAGTTGTCAGATATTTTAAAAATGATCAGAATTGCTAGTGTTCAACAAATATTCAACTCGACGTAATGTTTTCCCGGTCGCTTTATTGCACATGCTATTCGTTGTTGTTTTATTGAGTTAGAATATCTAATTATTCTTTTGCATGTTGGGTTTTCTCGGCAGGTATAGATTTCAAAATCAGAACAATAGAATTAGATGGCAAGAAGATCAAGCTGCAAATATGGTGAGTGTTCTTTGAACTTGCTCAGCAAACTTGTTTGAAGCAACAAGCTAGAAACCAATTTTCTTTCCCAGATAATTCCATGCAGTAGCTGACATGGAGGAAGTTCAGTTTTTTTAGTCTGGCCCAACATGTTTATTTATGAACTGGAACAAATGCAACTCTTCAACTAAAGTGTTAAAATAACACTTAAACAAAATTTCAAGAGCTTTCAATGTAGGAAATTGTTGCTTCGTGTTAAGCTTCTTCTTTTTGCATTTCGTCTGTACTTCAAGAGAAGCCTTTCTAACCCTAAGTCGGTCCATAGTGGTTTTTGCTGGAAAGTCCCTCCAAAATCCATCGCTGCTGTAAACAGTAGCTAATTGTCTTTCCTCAAACAAAAAATCGGGACATTAAGGCCCATGTAGAGTTTGGCATTTTTTTTGCTCTGAATCTGTCCAATTACCATAAATCAAGGTCAGGTTTTATTGTATTTAAAGTAGTTTGAAGCTAAGAATTTTTCTTGCCTTTTTTGCTTTGCCCCCCCCCCATTTATTTTTTTCTTACTTCTCTTCTTGTATCTCCTTGCCTGATGTACATTTTTTGAAGCCTTGTGAGAGGTGAATTTCAAAGCAAATGCCACTAACAAGCCTTTAGACAATGGGTAACCTAAGTACTGTCCTGTTTTTCAGGGACACAGCAGGACAAGACAGGTTCCGAACCATCACAACTGCCTACTACAGGGGAGCAATGGTAAGAGGTTGGAGAAGTCCTCAGAAGGGCTTACTCTTTGACCCTTATCAAGATCTTGATGCTTGTTGTGCTACAGTATATGGCCCACCGTCTCTCCCATGGGGCCTGTAGTTGAGAGAGTTCAAGACTCATGGTGTACTGCGTGCAGTTCATATTTACAACTGAGCCGTCCGCTCTGGTTACACGTTTCCTGAACAGGCTTCCTTTTCTAAATGCAGATCTTTTGCAACTTGCATGCGGTCATGATGCATGCCCCAGTTGTGCTCACATTTGAGTAATTTTGGCAGGGTTGGCTCTGGCAGAGGAGAATACAAATCTATGAGTCCTCTGACTTTAAAGTCCTCAGACTTAGAGTCCTCTGACTGCTAAGTCCTCAGTCCTAAAGTTTCACGTTTTCATCAGGGTTTCTTTTTCTTTCTTCCATTTCAGGGGATCATGTTGGTGTACGACATCACAAACCACAAGTCTTTTGAGAACATCAGTAATTGGATAAGGAATATTGAGGAGGTACGTCCTTTGGATAAATTTCTCATGTTATTTCACTTTCTTGCCTCTCACTTCAAGAAAATCACTGATCTGGAATCATGTCATTATTTCTGTTGTGGCAGATATTTTATTTTTAAAAGAATCACTGGAAAACATTGTACAGTATTTCAAAATTGCCAAGTACAAACTCTTCACCTTAAGAGTAGAACAGAACTTGTCGTCTTACAAGAGTCTCAACTTCTACTTTGGTAGAAATTTCATGGCTATTGTAATGTGTTCCAATCTCTCTGTAGCATGCCTCGTCAGATGTGGAAAAGATGATTCTCGGCAACAAATGTGACATGGAAGACAGGAGGGTCGTCACAAAGGACAAAGGCGAGCAGGTAAAAATCAACACTCTGACCAGGGTTATGTCCCACTGTGCCTGTCTGTCCTTGTCACACTGTGGGTCTGTTTAGTACTTACTTTGCCTATCCGCCCTATTCAGTGTCGGTCTGCATGTCGTTGTTTGTGTATGTTTGACATAAAATTTTAGATTTATTTTAGAAATCATCCAAAAGAGAAGTTGATAGTGGCAGACTGTAACCAGAAAGCATGATTTCTGACAGAATATTACAGTTATTGGAGTTTGGAAATGTGTCAGAAGTTAGTTTTTGTCACCAGTGTCTCGTGACATTATTATGTGGCATTTTTCCAACCCATTTGGTTGTCTCATTCTCAGAAAAAGAATATATCTATTTTCAGTTCAAAGTGGGATTTATAACATGGTGTATCCCAAGCCATAGATTATATGTCATTCCATAGTCGTTTTTTCCTTTCGGGGAACCATTTTTACCAGTTGATTACACACAAACAACATGTCCTTGATTTTCTTGCAGCTGGCGATAGAGTACGGAATCAAGTTCATGGAAACTAGTGCCAAAGCAAGCATCAATGTTGAAGAGGTAAGCGTTGCTTTCATTGGAAGTTGGAAAATTTAATCCACACCATTATTATGGAAGGACTTTTCCGTGCTATAAGTAGTGCAGAAGATGGTGAATTTAACACAAATCGTAGCCTGATCTTCACTTCTTACAGACAAGCATTCTTGCCAGGAACCTTCCTGAATCCTCCAAAATCTTCCATTCTACAGAAATCCACTGACCCATTCCTTGTGCTTAAACTTAAGTGACATTGAGAGTAGTAGTGACTGGACTCTACCTTCCCTAATCTTCAAAAAAGATCAAGTTGGGAATGTTAAGGTTACATGTAGGTTTTAAGGGTCCACAAGCCCCGTGCAACACAATAGTGGATGGACTCTACCTCCCTCAATCCTACAAAATCTCTCAAATCTTCCCGATGGATTTCGAACATCTGGGAGACAGGCTGATGCAACACAAATGGCATACCTGCGCTGAGAAACAGTGGAAGCAGACAACCAAATCACATAGGAAACTGCCGAAAGTCGAGTGTTTCAATTCATATTCATATGCGGAATCTTCAATCTCTCACCATTTGGTCCGGCCTGCTGTACGCTTCCCCATTGCCTCCGAGGGTAGATCTTAAGGGTTTTCCCTGCACATTTACCAAGTGGCTGCTTCCTTCCTTGTGTGTTCCGGAAGACATTTCTTGGCTGCCTGTGCACCGAGAACAGTGGCAAGTGGAGCTCGAGGTTGATGTTGTTGTGATTCCATATTGGGCAGTCACCTTATGGTTTAGGTAATCTTCAGTACGATTCATGAATCTGAACTTTAGGCCTTTGTGCCACAGCTGGAGCATTTTATCTCGTGTGGCGGAAATCCATGTATCAGTGCTGAAATAGATTTATCTGCATGTAGATTGAAGCATCGTACCCTGAAGTACGGTAGCACCGATTGGCATTACGTTTTACATGTACGTGTATATTACTCATTAAATTGAACATGAGGGGTTTGGGGGTTGAAGTGTTCGAATCAGACTGGAATTGTGAAATGGTGCATGGATTAAAATGGCCTTAAAGAGTCAAGAAATATGGAACAGCTGAGTAGCTGTTACGGTCAAATTGTCTTATCTACTTCATAAGATATGTGTGCATATATGTCTCTAGTCTTGGTACAACATCCTTTGCTAGCAAGCACTGGAAAGAATAGAAGCCGAATGCATCTTGTGTATGAGAATGGAGTTGTGCCAGTTGAGTTGGCCTTTTTACTCTGAGCCACTGTTTTACCACCGATTTTTAATCTCGTTTCTGTTCTCCACTTCCAGGCTTTTGTAACTCTAGCACGAGACATCAAGGCAAAGATGGACAGAAAGCTGGTGAGTAGCCAACACTTTTCACTTTTCACTCAACCAGCGTGCCAAGATCTACTCATCATACTTTTGTTTATATCCTCACTGGAGAGTGTTGTCGGTAGCCAATTACCTGGGGCTCTCATTGCACAGGGGCCCAATTTCATTACGCTGCCAAGCGTAGTACGGAAATGTAAGCACAGATAGGCTACTGGTACCATCTTCAGGCTCTTTGTGAGAGCCATGTACTAAAGAATTTGGGTTTTACAAACTGACACCAAACACTGAGAGCATTGGAGAAGACTTTTTGTTTTCACCTGAATTGGCAGGCTAGCTTGTATATTATCACACCCAGTGTTATAGCTAGGACCATTTTAGTGCCGGGTAAATTTTTGGATTATCAAGCGTAGTGAGCACAGTGAGCGTAACTCTCACAGCCCATAGCTGGGATTTTTAGGGGAATACCAGAAGGGATTTCCCCCTACGTCATTGTGAAGGCATGTTTACAATAATGCTTTCGCAATCAGCCGCTGATTTGTGAGAAATATATTTCTTAGGTCTTTACTTACTTGTTTAAAACTGTAAAATAGTGCAAAACTGCAAATTTTTACGCTTGAAATACGATCAAATTGGTACATTTTCAGCAATATTTCAGTTAATTTTTTGGAAAATCCGTGCCGGGCGGCACAGCCAATTTGAACCCAAGAGCCAGGCGGAAATTTACAGTACCGGGTGGTGCCACCCGGCACCGCCGACCGTGTCTAGAACGCTGATCACACCCCTTTGGAGATAAACACTTTCAAGGCTGTTACATGATGTTGCTTGATCCGTGTAATTGTCGGACTAGGAAAAAAAAAAACCTGGAAACCTTGTAACTTGGGTACTGAAGGAAAAGATTCGCTTGGTGAAAACAGAAATGCTCATCAGTGCTCAGTCACAGTTTGTGAAAACCAAAATTAGGTAGTTCTGTTCATTTTATGAAAGAGAAGAGTACTCATGTAGATGTCGAGTGTCACCTCTTGATATCAGCGATTGAGCAATTGCCAGACATCAGCTCTGTTGTGTGCACTTGTACACATTTACATGTATCAAGCCGTGAGTTGCCATGAAGCTTAACTGTCAGCACTTGGGGTATGGCAATAACTGTGAGCCAGACACCGACAAGGACACTCTAAGCTTCTCTCCAGGATGCTGCTTTATCCTTTCAAGCACAGAGGACCTCAGGCCGGGTGACTATAGCCCGCACCTCATTGAATTACATGGGCATCCTGCCAAACCGTCCACTGCTGTGCGGCCCTGTTGTCTGTGCGAATAGCTTGCCTGTCTCGTAAACTCAATCGTTTCCCTTGGGTCTTGTCATGTATCTATTTTGTATGGCTATCTGTGGCATATTGTTGTGCTGTGGCCCCTTGCATGATTTTTCCCTTTTGTGTTATCTATGAGGAAATGCATTCATGATTGCTTAAACGTGGTGTACACTTTTTCCCAGCATATTGACCTAATGCTTTTCTCTGTTACGTTATATGTGTACACTGTGTAATGCATAAGTAACATTAAAAAAAATTCAAGCAGAGTGACATGTACAGCTGTGCAGTGTATTCACATCCATGTTGATTGTTTCCTTTCCCATTGAAGTTTTACACTAAACTCTACGCGGTTTGGCCAGAAGGAACAAATAATTATACTTTCTATTTCCCTACCTACCCTATGTTGAAGGCGTGACCCTAAAAACAATTTGGGGTGGGTGATTTTGGGAAAAATGTGAAATTGGAGTAAAGAAAGGAAACTGTATCTATTTAAGTTTGATTGTGGTACCCTTTAAAGGGTGGTTTATTTCATTTGAAACAAATGCCAACTGACCTCGCTTACTGTTGTTAGTTTTAACAGTTGACACTTAGCTGCACGCTGATATCAGTAGAAAAAAGTGAGAAAATAAGTTCCCTACCTACCTAAATGTTCCCTATGTACAGGTACCATGTAATGGGAACCATGCACTAGTTTAGCCTCACCGCTGTTTTAAAGTGAAAAACGACCAGGTTTTTATGCAGTGACAGGTTACCAGTTGTGTGAGGTCTGCCGCAATCCGCGGGCACTACACAAAACGTGCACCAGTAATCCAGGCTCAAATCCAGCTGCATAATAGTATATGAGTAGTTCTGTGAATATCTCATGTGAGTAGCTCCATGAACTTGGCCGAAGGGGAAGTCATGGGCTCAATTCCCTTCACAATTCTTTTTTCACAAGCTCGTGAAACACTGAGCATAAGGTATTTGTACATGTCCTTGAAAGAGCAAACCTCAATGTTGCAATGAACCACGAGCATCCATTCCACTGTCATTCTGACAGTCTGGCACCCCGTTTTGAACCCCCTTTATCTTCCTACCTTGGCAGGATGCAGGAGGAGGCCCGACTAAAAGCCCTGGAACAGTTCAACTCACGGGAACAACGACACAGAAGAAACGGGAATGGAAGTTCTGCTCCCTTCTGTAAATATATGTAATGTATTATCGTCCGTTTTACCGATCACCACGACCATTCACCTGATGACACATGATCAGCTTCTGGTAAAGGCCAGTGAACACTTCAGTTCAGTGAGTTTGGGATCGTGGAGGTGGTGTCTTTTTTTTCCCCTATCCCCAAAGTTGCAACAGAGCGCGCTCAACAGAGCTGATCAGAGCGTGCAAAGATCTTTTGATGGAGTGGCACAGGATGTCTTTCTCAGAGACAAAGGGCTTGTTGGCTCCGGCATACTTTGCAGCACCAGATATGGGCTGGTATTCAGAACCCTGAGGGAATTGACTCTGGAGCCAGTGAACTACGGAAAGAGATGCCACCACACACACGTGATTTTTCCATGTACATCCTTTTATACATACTAGTTCATTTAATAGAAACTTTGTCTGCCCATATCTGTCAAAACCCAACACCCGATATGACACCTTTTTAATAACTTCGTCAATGCACACACAGTCTGGCCACTGTCACCGGTACTTGGCATGGGCCACATGTCCCTGCCTGGTTTTTGGTCTTCATTTTTTGTTTTTGGTTTTTTTGGCCGTAAAATGTTGGGTTTTGGAAGATTTGGCAAGTTTTCTAGCACAAATTTCTAAAGGAGTATTTCTGATAGACGGGCATCCTCTTGACATACATTTCAGTCGTGGATCTAAGGAGATGTGACCCTCTTGCCCTTTTCAAGCCCTCTTCCATTGAGCATTGAAAACAAAATATCGTCAGTGGAGGCTGACATTTTTAACTGCAGCAGAATTGGAACAAAGGCTTTAAAAAGTATTACCTCAAACTTTCACCCCGCCCTTGCCATGCAATGGTCACCATTGTGTTTAAACCTTGCATCAGATGGCTCCCCTACCACTTGCCACTCTGACTACTATTGGATAAATATTCAAATCTTGCGAAGAAGATCACTTCTACATAACCAAATCTCATCAGGTTTGGATTTGTCCGATAAAAGACGTTATGATTCACTGTCTGCCACCCTCCCTGTTTACAAGATACAGGATGTTTTGTTATTATATGAAAAAAAGGAAGATTTTCTTGCTGTTAATTAAACGAACTACCTTTCAAATTTCAAATGCCAGTGACACGGAGAACAAGAAAATTAGTTTCTTGTAGAAAGTTACCAATCGGATTGCCTGTATTAAGCATTGAAAGCTTGGACAGAGTGGTTGCCATTGGTTTTTTTCTCTTCATTGAGAGAAAGTGTATTTTTCCATCGTCACAAATTATTGGCGAGATGCATGTATCCTGTACATACGAGAAGCTTGTGCTATCCAGTTTATCTAACCAAACATGACCTTTGACCCAAAACTGGGAGGGGCTTTTGTAATGCCTCCAAAATCCCTTTTCGATTTTTGCTCAGCTCAATCAAGACCCCACCTAGGGAAGATAAGATGTCTTGCCATTTCATTGGCGCAAGTTTGAATCTACTTGTCGGGCCACTGAAGTGTAACTTTTACCAAAGTGACAAAGTTAATCAGCAGACTAGTACCAAATTTCTGCACCTTTACAGAAGCAAGGGCAGAGTAATGCATCACAGATCACTTGTTTGTAAGTGCAAAATGAACCGTTTGCATCCTTCATCTGACTCCAAACCATGTATGCAGAACTGACTCCAAACCATGTGTCGAGATGTATCCTCTGCAGTAAGAGGATTCCTGTATTGTTTAATGTCAGAGCCTTCTGACATCCTCGATCAAAATGGGATCCAAAATACATTGCCATTTCATCAGCTATGTCCTATCCAGTGCAGATGAGCCGTAAAATAAAGTCTGCTTGGTTGGATGATTGTCCTTGTGAGTATGCTAATAGTTTTTGAAAAAGGACTAACAAAGTAGCCATTTGGAGGGGGCGATTTGGGGTCAAAGGTCAGACATTAATGTAAAAAGGTGATAATTGCCATGCCCTCTTAGTTTTTTTCAGTAACTTTTTATAATTGTTTAAGGGCACTTCAAGAGTAATTTTCTGTGATATTTACAGGTAGATAAGCAAGTGGGAACAATTTCAGCAAAACGTGGATTTCAAACTGACAAGATAAGGGCTGAGCGCTCTCTGGGGCAATCAAGGCTCAGTAGACATTTATTGTGATGCTGCCATGTTTGTCTCGTTCCCTGTGGACCCATTTGCAACTTCACCTATTGATACAAGGGAACAGACTCTTATTCCCTCCAGACTCGGTTTGATTACATTGCCTTTGAATGGTAGAAAAGCAAGATGGCTGCCCCATGATAGAGGTCTATACACAAGTCTCATAACGTTGTGAAGACCCCATTTGCAGTCCCAGCAGAACCTCAAAGAAGGAAGGAAACATCTATTAAAATTTTTTTTTTCTTTTCTTGTTTCCCCCATGTTTACTATTTGTATAATGTTGGCTGGCATGCATGAAATCGAGTGGCTGCCTCTTCCTCCAAGCTGCACAATACGTCCAGCTTGGTGGGAAGGACAAGGCGCGAGAAGTCAGATTGAGTTGACATTCTGTTTTACTGAAAAGGACGTTGGTAATCAACACCAGCAGGTCTGTGGGAAGTTTCCTTGTCAGCCTGGGATACCGGTGAAACGACATGATAAAATGAATGTGAAACTGTCATTTGGGCCTTTCTTGTTGGATTGGTGGACCGTTTGGGCCCACAATCACAGTTACTGTCTTCCTTTTGTATATTGGTTAATGCACATACATTTACCTATGCTTGATGTACTTACAGATAGCTCTGCTTATAAAAGAAAGTGAATGATTCTGTGGTGATGACTGTGTACTACGTAAGAAGGTGATTCATAAAGAAAAATGGTGCATTCCCAGAACATAATGAGCATACAGATTGTATATTGACATTTAAAAAGAAAAATAAGTAAATTAAAAATTTTAAACAGCATATTCAAGAACTTGTAACAACTTGCCTGCCGTAATAAGAAGCATCCGTAAGTATCTGGGAAAAAATTTATTTATGTCGCAAATTGAATTGGGCAAAAGTCCATATCTCATTCAATAAATACTTGATTTTGGTTTGCTAAAAACAGTGGTTTCTTGGCGTCTTTATGTCAGAACTGACGGTAGCAGGATTTTTTTTCTAGGAAAGTTTGTGTCAGGACAAGCTACATTGAGATGATGAAACATAAACTAAGCACGGAAAAATTGGTCTCTCAGAAAGGGTTACAAATCAAAAATATGTGTAACTTTTGAAGCATTTATCTGGGTTCATGGCTGAAATTTGCCGGGCAGTTGCATTTGCCAAGTAATTTTTATCAAGTTGTGAACATTTCGCACAAGCCTAGAATGAATACATTTTTACATCCACACAAAAGAAAAAAAATATTTGTCACAAGTTTTTCAACTCTCTATGAGCATTGCCCATGTAAATATTTAATTTGTTAATGTACATTGTATGCATTTGTCTTAATTTGTTGCTATAGAAATTTCTATTGGATCTGAATATATCTTATGCAAACCAGGAGTTTACACTTAATGTTTCGAGTTGATACTGCAGAAAAAGTAAATTTCATGTTAATCTATAATAAGCTACAAATCTGGCTCTTTTTCAGTTGATTTGGTCCTTAAAGGCAATACCTTCTGTAGAAAATGTCAATCCGATCGCAGAGTGGCCAGCTGTAGCCATGGGCGTCGGTTACAAGTGGTACAATTTGCAAAAATAAGAAAATGATTTCCTTTATTTCATCATGTAAATAGTCGATAGTTAATCTTTAAATCTACACAAATGCTAAACAGGACCTTAATTCAGACTAAAGATATGACTTTTTAGCTGGCCTCCATTCAAAGTTGTGTAATCTTAGAGTCATAGCCATTTCTTGTATTTATTGAGGGGGTGGTCAAACATTTCCGAACTATTTTGGGTGAGGCTCGAAAAACTCTTATGTCAGTTGATATGCTCTGCCAATACGAGGACGATCATGAGCTCCAAATTTGGAACATTGGTGGATCTTGTATGTGCATGCACCTTAATCCAGACATGTTGACAAATGCATGCTGTTTATTGATAATCAAGTTTGTGTGAAATTGAGCTTTACAAAAAAGTAATACCACTGTTGTATAATTCCATACCGAGAGGTACAGGGATTCATTGAATTTTTGTCGCTGATTTACTCTTGTCAAGAAGCCCTCTGTATTGAGGGGTTTTTGTTTTCAATGTTTTAGGAATTGGGAGGCATTTTTTTTTAAGTATTGAGACTTTCGTCCTTCACTGACTTATATTGTGAAAAAAAGGCTTACTTTGGTGAGACTTGAACACCAAAGGAAGACTTTACTGCCAGAGCAGTGGCAAATTATAAAAAGTGGATCTGTCCAAACTTACATTTGCAGCTGCATATAACAGGGTGCCTATTGAATCCACTGGCTAGCCACTGTGGCCACTTCCAATAGACCCTTGTGCTACCAAGCCAACCAAGGCAAAATTGGTGCTGCTGGTCCATGCTATGACACTCCTGTGTGGGATATCACAGTATGCCTTGTTCGCATTGTTACAAATCAAAAGCAATATGGCCTTGTGTTAAATTGGCGAAGGGAAAATGTCACTTGCCCAATGTCAAATATTATTTAATGCAAATGTGCAGATTGTAGTTTGTGGGTATTTTTTTACATAATACGGCTTGTTTTGTTGTTTGTTTGGGATTTTTGTTTCCATTTTTTTCCTGCGACATCAGAACTAAGGCCTAATTATACAACGCTGCTTAATGAAGGTAAAGAAATCCTGTTTACTATAGCAAAATTTTCTGTGTTGACAGTTTCAGTTTTTTGTTCGTTAGCGTATTTTTTGTAATTTTAACAATGAAGCATTGTTCACAACCTCATGTAAACCTTGTAAGATGTATACATATTCTTTTCTATACTTTCTAATATTACATTTTGCTACATAGATGTATACCATTCTTCATAACATGTGCTATTTCTATTTAGTTTACTATGCAGCAAAATTAGTTGAAATTTCATTTGGCTGTCCCAGCAATGACTGGATCTTCAACAAAACAGGTGTCTCTGGAGTAATGGCTGACTAGGAATTCAAATGAAATCGGCCATCTTGAATAGCAGATGTTGTTTCCAAGTTGAAACAGGAACGCTGCAGGTTCTTGCTTCATCTGTAGTATAGGCATGTTTGATGAAAGACAATCCATTTAAAGCACAAGATCAACCCCCTCCAGGGGGATGTGATCTCTCTTCTGAAGGTTAGTAGTGGCACTTCAGAGCTCTGTGAGGGGGTTTATGATGACCTTAGTTTCCTTTCCATTTTCAGCTTCATCTCTGGACCTCAAAGCTAGTTGTGGGCCCTTACTATTCAGACCAAAGGAAAACTAATACCATCTGCAGCTACAATTTGATACTAATTTGCTTGAGTCAAAAACTACAAAGTCGCCTACCCAAAACATCGCAGCCCAAGCTGGAGAGTAGCCTGTGATTTTAGAAACCCTGTTGGTGGAATCCGAGGATTCATGAGTGCTTAGGGTTAGATTTGAACTAAAAACAATCTGATGCAAACACATGAAAAAAAAAATCCAAAATTGTCAACATTGCCTTGTGATACTTGGGCTGAAGGTGATTCCAAGCTCCAGTTCCACTGAACCAAGCTTATCGATGCTCCCCTAATCTCTTTACCTCTTCTTCAGTTAACCAGGATTGGAAGTCCTAGCATTCTCTTTGGATTACATTTCGAAGATTCAGTTAAGTTTACATCTGTACTGTCTTAGTATCTCGATGCACTGGGACTTGACTTTGTCGCTGATTCACAGCAGAACATGGTGTTACAATACATGTAGTCCTTTTAACACGAATTTACAATGTGCCTGGCAGATTTTTATAGTAAATTTTTATTTAACATTTTATGGCCTGAATGTTAATTTTTGCCGCTTAAAAACTGAATGTCATTATTTGGGGGTTTTGTGTCAGAGAAGGGAATGTGAGTTGTAGTGAACTGCCATATCTGTGTATGTGTCTTGGTCTCTGAACAGGTCTCTGCCAATGTAAACTGCCTTCCACACCATTCTGCCTGAATCAAGTCTTTTTTTTTTAGTTTGCACAGGCATGAGAGCTTGACTTGGAGCCTAGTTGACCTGAGGCAAAGTGTACAGTTTTGTCTCCATGGTATTAACAAACAGGCTTGGGATGAAAGCATTTGGCGCCGTATACACTGGCCATTTTTCCTTATTTAAAAGTGATATTTTTTGTTTTAAATCGGTGGATGTTGTTTCTAGGTTGGAATCTGTATGTAGTAGTTGGTCAGATGTTATTGAATGACAGTGGATGTCCTCAACATGAGAACATGCTTTTGTGTCATGACCTGTAACTGCTTCAGTGCTTGTCACCAGTTCCTTGCTGTTGTTCTGAATTTTCTAGCTGTGTAAGTTAAACCCCCCCCCTTTCATCTTAATGATATTTGCAGTTTATCTTATTCTGCATCACCGTCATTCTGATTGAGGTACATGATGTGTCCTTCAGGAAAGGTACTAGTAATAGACGCTTTGCGTGGTAGCCATCTTGCGGGGCGATTGTTTGCCACTGCTGGGGAAACCTTTGCGAAGACCCTGTGGAACAAAATCACTGTCTTTTAAGATGGCGGCCATGCAAACCCTCTGTACCACAAGATTAGTGTGCTAGCCAATGTTCACAAAACACTGTCAAGGACCAACGGTTCTTGGCCACTACTGTGGACGTGCCCAGTTGACAAAGGTCATACATCTGGATTTGTCTGGACTTTGGACTGGTATCCCAACAGCTTGCAGAAAGAGAGAGAAATGTTTAATGGGCCTCTGTTCTGATGATGCCACACTTTGGTTTACATGTGTGTGTTTCTGTGGAGTCAATGGTACCCAAGGTCTTTTGAGTTACATTGGAAAACACACATGGATTACAGTGGCATCAGTACAGGGGCTTACAGTAGATTTGATACAAGGAGCCAAGCGTGTCTTTCTTCCTGTGAAAACCTTTATATCCCTCTTATCAATTTCCTGTCTGTAACATTTAGCCTGGGTTTTAGCTTTGTATTTAATATAGTATTCCATTTCAATTGCTTACTAAATTGTAGAACAGGTTGCAAATTATGTAAATTGTCTGGGAAGGGTTAAAAAAAGAACAAGGCTTATATGTATGCATTGAAGCTTCCAACTGTCAAACAAAACATGTATTGTTTGGAATAATTGACTCAACTGAAAAATAAATCAAAATTAAAGGGAACTTGATGCTTGTTGAATCGTGATATTTGTTGCCATGTGCCACTTTCATGCCCCCTCACTTTAATCCTCCCCCCCCCCATCAGTTCAAGTTTTGGAGAACATTAGTTTGGTAGCCTCAATTTGCACTTCCAATCCTGCCAAGGCATTTGCATGTACCTGTTTAAATCAGGACCGACTGGACCATGAAACAAAGCGGATGTGTCTATTATACACATGCGGTAATCTTTGTAAAAATTCCACCAAATCAGTGCTACGTTTTTTATCCAACGTTTGGGCAGCAACTCAGAAGTCTTGGAGTATTAGAGCTATGTCAACCTTGGAATTGCAATGCATAACTGAAATTAAAACACAAGAACGCATTTTAATATTTTGAAGCATTTATCCTTTTGCCTCCTATTAAGCTAGGACATGGTATGGGGTAAATTTTTGGATTCTGCAAGTGAGCCAATGATCTCCATTAGCATTAATCGCCTCATAATGACCAAATAATTACAAATGACACACTATTTTAAAGTCTGTGACTTGCAAGTTACACTTGCTTTTATTTGAAACATTCCCAACATCAGAACTGGAAACTGTATGTATGACCGGGGTTCGATATGAGGCATATTTTGAGACTGGATAAACTCTAACTGAAAAAGTCTTCATGTTTGTCAACTTCAACTCTTAAAATACAAAACCTAATAGTTGTGGCAACAGAAAAACCGTGCTTGAAAAAAGACGATTAAGCTTTGTCCAAAGAATATCGATCATTCACTAAACTATCCACGGATGACTTGCAAAATATTTTCGGGAACCATGCAAAATATTTTGAACAGAAATGAACACACATGGTGATGCCAGTTCAGAAAATGACAGTAGATGACATGCCGTAGTGTCAGAAGCTTTAAGAGCAATGAAATTTGTGCAATTGGCTTGGAATATTTCAATAGAGTACCGAAGTGTGATGTGACAATGAACCAGAAAGTGCAGTGCAAACGAATGGAGTAAACGCTTGTGTTGGTTCATGCGCTGGTTCATGCGCTTATTATGCCTTTTACACACTAATTGTGCGCGTGACGTATTCACTTCAGTACTCTATAGTATCTGTCTAGTTGATCTCAGCTACAAATGAAAGACGAGACAAATCTCAGCAGTTAACACTTCTTATACCAACAGTATCCCTAATAAAAATATCACTGACAGAGTAGTACTTCAATACGCACCTCGTGACTTTCATTTTCAAGAACTGACACACACTGAGGTACCTGCGTGCATGCTCGGGACAATTTTGTTTTTACGAACTAAAACTTTTCTTAGTTTCCTATTTCATGCAAGGTTTTTGTTGAATTTAACCCTCTTCTGTAAGAATACGGATAGAGGGAATTGGTGTTGGACCTTTTATAGCATTGTTTTCTGAATTACATATGTGACACCGCACATCAAAATATGGAATAAGTCTCAAATGGATTTTTTGAGATGTGTACATGGTCAGAAAGAGAATTTCATAAGCTTTCACATGGTACATTTTACAACTGTATTGCTTCTTTGGTTCTCAAGTTAGGATCTGATGAAACATGATAAGTCACTTGCAGGCTACATATTTCAATATTGCATGTACATATTTCAAAAGGTCAATTTGAGACTTATTCCTGATTTCGATGTGCTGGGTCAAACATATCCACAAAATGCTTGGGCATCACTTTGTGATGACTACCTCTCTAACTTACACTCTAAGTGCTGCATACCAGTCTACCTTGATGTCTGTTAGTGCAGCCACAATATACAAGTGTACAGTTTTCACAAAGTATACCCAAACAGCACTCGTGGGTGAGTTCAAGAAGACAGTGACAAATTTGCTTAGAAGTATTACGTGCGTGGCACCTCTTTGGCAGAAGGCCCCCTCGAGTTGAACCGGAATATCGGACTACGCTTAGCAAGGAGGCCAGCCCAGCTGTTGGCCGCCAATGACGTGCAGGTGCAAATGGTACACACTCTGTGCGCCGTGTACACCATCGTTGATGACCACGCGGAAGCCTTCGGTCAGACCTTGTTGTTTGGCTACATTATTGGCAGCCAGAAGTAGGCATCCTAGGAGCTAGTGTCAAAGTGTATACAGAAACAAACCGTCATAAACCATTCCAAAATAAACAGGTTGCTGAATCACCATTGACTACAGGTCCATTGACCATGCCTTGGTGGCCTGAAATGTGACCAAACAAAGTTTTCCTCAAGGATTACAAGAACAGGTAATCGTTATGAAGTCTGTTGAATTCAATTCCACGCATGTATAGTAGTCTCCACTCGAATATCACAAATTTCTTTTCTTAACAAATTTCACAATTTTGGTTCTGTGTGTTACAGCTTCTTCTCCAAGTTAAAAGACCTCTCACACAAAACCTTCAATAGGGGACGGATGTTGCTCAGACACTGGTAGTTAAAACATCAGCATGGGACAGGAAAGACAAAAATTACAAAATTTTCAAGGATTCGGACTTCATCCGTCCCAGAATATTGCCCACGTCCGTGAACTCTGAATAACAGTGCAGGCAATACACACAAGTGATAAACTGCTTTTACATAGTCACCGTGACACGTGTTGGCCGATCTAATGCATTCCATATCTCAACCCGGGTTTTTTACCTCTGTGTCTGCTTTCTCTGCCTTGGACAGCTGAGTGATTGGCTTCCGGGGTATCACCAGAAAATGAGCACGTGCGACCGGTGCAATGTCTCTAATAGCTATACACTGCAATAACAGAAATAAGCAAGAGAATTTTTGACACAAGATCCATTGTTATACCTTGTCCTGAATGTTAATGGTCCTGAACAATCATGTTCATGACCCTCATTCCTGTGCATATCACAGTTAGACTAGTCTCTGCCTCACAGTCCAGAGAGTAATTCACTGGTGCCTGTGCTACTTTCATCCACAAACAGTTGATAATACATGTAGTAAACCCTAGTGAGAGCAGTTAATTGGCAATCAGCTGTCAGAGCGCTGACATTTTCTGTTGACGGTTGAAGCTTGTTTCTTTGTATGAGTTCTTCAATATCCGGTTCATAAGTGACCTCACCATGCATACGCAGGCACCACTGACTACAAGCCCTCATTGGATGAGCACTCAAATTGCGTGTTAACTTCTGGTTCTATGTAACTCTATGTGCAGTGGTCGTGGTTTAAACCGAAGTCACGTCACACTTATGAACTCGGGCCAATGTCATAGAGCTGCTTAAGCACAAAATTTGCTTAAGCGCGAAAAAACCTTACTTGATAAATCAGGTAACCAGCCAAAACTCCATGTGATGTATATTGTTTTGAGATTATATTTAGCTGTTTTTTGGTTAGCATGACAATCAGATAGCATTTGAGCTGGTAACCTTTGTTTATTATGCGAAGTTTTTACTCGCTTAAGCAGATTTTGTGCTTAAGTAGCTCTATGAAATTAGCCCCAGCTGGATAATGTCTGCTGAGCTTAAGACATAAATATAGGTGAGGTGTAAAAATATTGCATTTGAGCAAGACACATCATGTGCATGTATAACGAACTGAATGTCTGTGCACATCGTACAACTTGAATGCAGCAACGGACAGACAGACTCGCCATTTGAATTAAATTCAAGACACTTTAAGACACCGTAACAACCTTAGGGAAGCATAGCTTCCTCGGCTTTAACTCAGGTGCGACAAGTCCCTCAGGTGTTACATCACAGCTGATAATAAGTGAAAGATCTTCTCCCTTCTATGCATCCTCTACAGCCCCAAAATTATGGTTTTTAGTCTTCAAAGCCCTACAACATGTACACACAGGAAGGGTTAGGCAACGGTGGTGATGAAGTAGGGAGAGCTGTGCATTTCAACCACGGTACGGGACGGATACCAGGAACAAATACATGAACATGGAGCAGACACTTAACTTGATTTTCTCCTTGAAAAAGCTCCTTCCTGGTAATGCCACAAGAATCGTGGGGTTTGGCGTCTGCCACACTCCCATGGGGCACCACGGACGACAAAGCCCTGAGTTCTAATCTTGGTAAAGGGTTTACTGGAAGAAACCTATTCTAAATGGGAAACCTGGAATCATCACACGCCTTGTAAGAAATTAGAAAACTGATCTAAACCATGATGAGAAATAACATGAAAAGATGTTTTTTAAGTATAGATCGCCAAAAATCCCTGAGCCATTTTGCCTTTGCCATGTTTGCTGGTAGGCTTAATAGCTAGGGCCTACATTGGCGGGGGGGGAGGTCCCCTCTACCCTCCAAGATTTATCAGTAGCAAAAACATAGAGCTGGGTTTTCCAAGGTGGGCTTTCACAGATTTTTAAAATTTATTTGGAAAGAGACCCCAGTCATTATTCCCTGTTGTGCCCTATAAGCTGCCAGAAAGCAAAAATACGTCCAGAAAAAGTTCAATTTAGGAGGAAAAATACTGTTAGACAGAATAGGAGGCCACACAGAACGACTTGCATCACATGCATATTGCGCTCAGGAAGTGTACACTTTACAGTGCGTACTTTATGCATACTGAGCATAATAAAAATGATGCATGTCGTTCTACATGGCCTCCTTTTCCATCTACCGAAAAATACTGAGTCATTTATTTGGAAAACAGAAGTTTCAGACAGGTCGCATAGGGTTTGTGCAGATGGTGTCAAGAGGCATCTGTATTTAGAACTCTTTCCATTTATTTTATTTATTTATTAAAATCTTAGTTTGACAAGTTTAAGGAGCCCTCACCATCAAAACTGAAAAAAATTGAGATTTTGGAAAGCAGTTAATCTACTTAGGCCCCTGAACACTTTATCTTTTTAGGAAAGTTGGAATTCAATTTAAGTTACAACTAATATAAACATGATTAAAAAAATAAAGGTTTAGAAACCTAATAAAACTGAAAAGAAAAACGGAACTTGTGCCGATGGCATAATCTTGAATTTCCAGTGTAACACCAGGGGTGTGACTGGCCACTTAAAATTAAAGCTGAAAACAGCTAGCAAAAAGCTGATATGTAAAAAGTTCCAATACTTTTGTGCAGACCAGGTGTACAAAAAAGCTGAAAATCAAGGTCAACATCTAAACAAAAAAAATGAAATCAGCTAAAAAGCTGAATTCTCACACTGCTACTCGCAAGGCCAGCCTCTTCCTCAGGCTGAATGCTGAAAGTCACACTATGTGGCATTATTTCTTTCTGATTTTGCACAGTTTTCTTCCTTCCTCCGTGAATGCATGATATGAATGAACGAATGCTCCGAGTCCATGCACGATGTTAGAGGTGCAACCCAGTACCTACCTCCACAGCTTTGTGGTCTGACGACCGGGCCGGACGTCGATCGCGGACCCTATGCCGGGGGGATGGGGCTACCCTAGCCCCACACGTAGGGCTGCATGCAGCGGCTCTCTTTTACAATCTGTCTCTTTTGTGTCGCCAAATAAGAGACGGATTGTAAAAGAGAGCCACCATGGCCACTTCTGCCCTACGTGTGGTGGTACAGGGCCAACCCAGAAATAGCCCCACTAGTGTGGCACGGACTCTCACCAAGGATCGGGAGTGAGAGTCCGTGTCACACTACTGGTGGGGCTAACCCAGAACCAGGGTCAAATTTTAATTCTCATTTTTGCATTAAGATACTTTTCCAGCATGAGTGACTCTGATCAGACTACAAACCTGCTCATCTTCGTATATTATGTCACTGTTGATTTCTCCCCTTACAATCTTGCCGAAAATGGTATCGCCACTCGGCTGGGCTGTTTGAGCTTTAGTGACTTCGTCCGCCATCTTCTCCGCTGAAAAAAACCATCTGAGTGGCTAGGGCTAGGCCTATTGTGGGTCTATTCCAACTGCGGACGGGGCACGGCTATGGCCATGGCGATAAAAGAGAGCTACTAGTATATGTATCACGCGTGCTAATCCCTAGCCCCGGCCCAGGGTCTCGTGCGCCGAACCCCATCATATAACGATATTGCTCATGCCATTCAAACAACAAAGCGGCTTCTGTCAAATAGGGATCGCTCGCATTATTGTCCTTCGCAAAAATTTGAGTTTTGACTGGTGCCTCCGTACAGGTTCCCCCTCAGTGTCCACAATAAAATTGACATGTTGTTTCCTGAAGATTAAAATTTCCGGTTTGATGTTGGAAATCCAGAAAATATCCAAATTTGTTAATTTCCCTTGTGTTGAACCATGGAGGAATATCGGATGTGTTTTAATTCCTCCGGGGTTGAACAGTAACTTTCTTGACCAACTTTGAGAACTTTTAATTTTATCATCATGATAGAAATATGGAAGTGTAAAACCTTTGTGCCCCATTTTACCCTCGTATAAAGGAAAGACATTGTGTCTCGGTACTGGAACTAAACATTTAACTTTGGTCGTTTATTTAGCAAACTAAAGTATCTACTCATACCTCATTCACCAAATAAGTAAAGACTGTAATAAACAAGCTCAACAAACATAACCAGTGATATAACTTACACAAGATGAAATCATCATAGCATTACAATACATGTTGATGTTGGCCTTGAACACTTTCATTATTTTTGGTTATGTCAAGAACTTGATTTTGTCCAAAAATCTTATACATGTAGTTCACATAAAACTATATCAGATATTTACATTTAATTAATTTTACTAATATGCTACATGCCCTTGTTTCCTTAAACCCTTTTCCCTTGTTTCCTTAAACCATGTTTTTGAATAAATGCCAAGCATGTTTCAAGCAATACAGAATTTATAGACACATCCCAGATGATCGAAAATGGTTAAAATGAACTGAAATTTAAAGTTTAAAAAAATTAAGCTAAAAAATTTAATTCAGATATTTCAAACAATTTATTTGCTTGACAATAGTTACAAAATCATACTGAAAGACATAGATCTTTAAGTGATATCCCTGATATGATAAGCTTTCCTAAAACTTTAAGTGAATTCTGAATATAGAATTCAACAAAACAATGAAAGAAAAGACTACATCTCCCATCACTGCCTGATCATTCAGACGGCTACAATCACTAAAGTGAAGATAATTGTTACTGTATTACTTTAGTGAAACATTCTCTGACTAATTACCAGAGATGAAAATATTGAATTCCAAAATGTCTTTGGCAAATTTGCTGGAACAAAATGTAAAACTTAGAACCAGTCTTGAACCAAGTTTAACTGAGCCCTTTTGAAAAGAAACAGAATGACTGAACTTGTGGGAGACACCACACCATCAGGGCCACACCTTACAATGCAACGGTAAAATCATGGTGTACACGAACATGTACCCACATTTAAGCTTGCGACTCCCCAAACTTGCTCTCAACAGGTGGGGCGGGTGTTGCCATGGTTTGTTGACAGGAGGAATCACTGGTCTCCTGATAGGGGGGAGGGAGAGGGGATGGCTCAGGTTCCGCTATACCCTCATACTGTGGTGGATTGGGTGGGGGTACACCGTAGGGACTCAGCACAGGATTAGCAGGGACCGGCATGTGATGGTTTTGATTGAGGTAATAAGGTAGGCCCCCCTGCTGGGTCGCGTATGGGAGCTGGGCATTGTGCGTCTGGTTTGCAGTGCCATAAGAGAGAGGGGGCTGACCCTGACCGTGACCCGGAGTTCCTTGACCCGGGATGAACACATACAAACGCTCGTTGTTTGGAATAACAAGGTTAGTGTACATCTCGCAACGCAGCCTTTCTCTTTTATTAGCAGCCTGGACCAGGCAAGGCATACGGACCAAATCGACCAGCCATCCAATGGTAAAGATGCCGGCTGTGAAGAAGTACAACAGGCCAATGGCGGGACCGCTAAGATAGAATCGGTGAAAACCAAGAATGCCAAATGGTACAGCATAGATGTACGCATCGTCGAGGTGGCGCGTCCAGGTACGGTTCTCCTGGACCTCCCTGTTGTGCCGACTGACGAGGCAAGGCATACGCACCAGGTCAGCCAGCCAGCCTACCCCAGCCAGCCCCCCGGTGCACAGGTAGGCCAACCCTTGGCCGACTCGCCCCATGTAGAAATGGTGCAGGCCCAAGATCCCCAATGGGAAAGCCAGCTGGTATGCATCACCCACGGAGCACTCCATTGTTATCTCAACCACCTCGCCATTCCGAAGCTTTCTGATCTTCTCATTGGTTTCCCGCACAAGATAGGGCATTCTGAAAATATCAGTCAGCCATCCAATGCCAGCGAGTCCAGCACTGAAAGCATAGATGACTCCAAAACCAGTACGTCCCAGGTAAAAGTGATGAAATCCTTCAAAAATTAAAATAGAGATAAGAAAGACTTCATTGTTTCAAGAAATCGTGAATTTAATTTCCTTCAGTGGGAACTGGGTTACACTACAGAGGTTTGTATGGTTGTGTGGCTTTCGCTAGGCAAGAAACAAATGGAGATGGTATACTGAATCATCCAAATAAACAAATTTTAAGTGTTTGAGCTATTGTTCGCACAATCAATGTAAACAAAAATTCCACAAAATGACTGTAACAGAAACAGCACAAAGATATTCACCAAACAATCCCATCGGAAACCACATGATGTAAGCTTCTAGAAGTGTCCTCTCTCGCAGGTCATAGAAGCGATAGTTATACTGGCGTGCCACGCAGTAGCCATTCCGGACCATCTCCTCCTCTTCCTGATTAGCCTTTGCCACCAGCCAGGGAAGTCTGATCAGATCAATGAGCCATCCTACACCCAAAAGGCCAAGGGAGAACAAGTACAACCAGCCCAAGAGGTTCCTGAAGACGACATGATAAATTTGGGCATTATTAACAGCTCAATTGTAGAAGCTCAATTGTAGAATACCTGCCACCCCGCACCGTATGATCAACCTCATAGCCAGGTACAGGTCAAAGGATCACACTCTTCTCAATGGATTTTCCTCTTGTACCCACGTAACCAGTCATTCTAGGGGTCATTTTTTAGAGTGGCAGGGTATTCTGCAATTACTCCTTATTAACATAACACAGAGCAGTGGTAGAACATCGGATATTTTGCTGAATTAATCTCTATGTGATAAATGCCTAGGCCTCTGTGAGGCCTACTTACCGTTTCAGGTAAAAGTGGTGAACCCCGAACAGTCCAAACAAGAAACAGTAGATGTATGCTTCGAGAAGGCTTTTGCGCTGGATGGCGAACCGCTGCAAGGTTGAAACTCCTTGAATGTGCACCGGCTGCTGTGAGGATGCCATTGGTCTGTAGGCTTGGCCATGGTGAGGATAGGCACCAGCCGGCATCCAGCTTGCCAAAGAAGGTTGCTCCGAGTTTTTCATATCTTCTCAACTGTGTCGATAACGTTAACCTGTAAAAGTCCTCGCGCGGTGCAGCTATTGAACCTGAATTTCAGTAACAGTATGAACTATAAACACAAACCTACCGAAGAAATGCAAGTAACCGGGGCGCGCTTAGTGGGATGAAAAATAATTTGATGATGCGTCGACGTACGGCAGGTCAGATCATATCACGAGATACAAAGTCCATTCCGTACAACCTTATCATGCATGCATCGCCGCGCCGGTCAGCATGTAAACAGTTCTATCACGTGCTGATGACAGTATGGTGCCCTATTTGCGTTTCCTATTTACGTGCTAGCCGCTATAGTAGAAACCTGGGTCACCTTATACTTTATTTTTAACAAATGACATCATTGTTTATTTCCTACAACTAGCGCAGCTGACTCCCTGACCGTACTACGTTATGTGATGAAGACTGGCATCAAACATGGCTAGGGGCAGTGCCAAACGAATAATGCAGCAACTTAAACAAACACGACAAAATTATTGAAATAGAATGGTTGAAAGCAAAGTTGAAGCCTTCATTGGTAGAGAGGGCAGGCTACCACACATGCGCAATAGCATAGTAGGACCTACAGAGCGAGATAGATCTCTGTAACTAATCTTTACATTATTTTGTTAAACTCGATCATGAACCGTTAGTTTTGTGCCGGCTGGGTAAGAATATCCGCTGTGACAATAGCAATCGACTTTTGCTCACATACTAGGGCCCAGACTTCCTTGCCACAAACATGAAAATGTCATGGGGTAGAAGGAATGGTAAAAAGGATTTTTTAACCAGTCACTGCATTGTCAGGAGTCTCCATTGAGATCACTACTGTCATAATGCTCTCGGGCCCGAAAATTACTACCGTCATTCATGATCGAGCTTTCGTTTTTGCGATTTCTTTAATTTTCCCTTGTGTAATTTGTTTACCTTTATTAGATAAAGGTCCCCAGTCATGTATCGTTTATTTGAAAGGACATGTTAACTCTCGAAGAGTCAGGTTGTTTGGGGCTATCTCAAAGCTAGGGCAGATTCCGCCCCCTAAGAACACTGTAGACCCACAGTTGATTTTTTTTATAATGGCATGCATGCAGAAACACTCCTCATCAGTAATGGAATTTCAACTCTATCTTACATATGGGTTTGTAGCACGCCACTAAAAGGCCTGACCTGTCTCGAAAACGTTTCGTTCGCAAAGTTGGTGCCAAAATGACCCCCAGGAAGAGTCACTACAAGCTTCTTGAAAGAAATGCACCGCGGTGATATCACAACTTGCCCGGGGGGGGCAGATTCCACCACCGGCGTTTTTCCACCACTGAGATTTCATTCTATGATGTGTTTAACCACCAATCGCGATATTGGAAGCTGCCCATTAAAATTTTGCAGTTCACTGATAGAGCAAAGATGAGAACACTTGTACCCCGATGGTCAGTTTGTTTACATTATGAGGAGCAAGTTTGATTGGGGAGGAGACCAACAGGGATCATGGCCCACAAATGAACAATCGTTGTTACCTTTTGAAATATAATTAAAGAAAGGCGCGCGAGACTATTGCGTGTGGAAAGCTCCAAAATTTAGCCTTTCCCTCAAAGAGACCATTATAGCGATTCACAAATATTTTGGTTACACCTCTCGAAAGAAATGTTTGCATTAGTAATTTCAAAAATGTTTATGGATTACTCTTGATAAAGAAATGGGCAGGTGTGTTACAAATGTACTAGTTTAATGGATACATTTGAAGAACATTAACATGCAAATCACGGACCTAAATGCCGTCCCTTTTTTTCTTTTTTTTTTTTTTTTGGAGGATGGGTCACTTGATTATCCTTCTGCTTCTGGCAATGAGAACCAAAATGTGTCTTCTAACTTCCATTCGTCAAACTTAANCCCCCCCCCCCTTCTACTGAGCATTTTACTGCGGTTTTACTCATCCAACCACTGGCATGGATTTACACCACTAATTCAGAAGAGAGATTGTAAGAATTTATATGGTTTTCGAGATCTATAACCACCGAAACTGCGTCCAGTCGTCCCTTCGTCCCATCGCCCTGACGCCACGAAGCGACGCCACGACGCGACGCCACGACGGGACGCCACGAAGGTTCCGTCGTGTCACGCGTGCTCTCGCTGTCGCCTCATTACTGGTGGAAATAGGGGGCACCCTTATAGACGGCGTTAAGTTCAATACCAATAGAAATCATTTTTTATGATCAAATCTTGAAGGCCCTATGGGTGCATTCCACCAAAATGTCGGATTTCTGCGCGCGAGGTCAATAATATTTTGCGATCCCACCAGGTTTTTACAATAAGACATGCCATAATCAGGAGGGATCGTAGAAAAATTTCTATAAATTGCGAATTTGCGACTGGCAGTTTCCAGTTCGGGATGTACATGTATCTTTTACTAAAAAAGCACCAAATTGCTGGGCTATTTTGGATAGTGGCTACATTTATAGCTGAGCGCATAGCTTTACTACTATTTGGGGGTATATGATCTCCGGAGAAAGGCGAATAAAAAAGAATTCATGTGGCTAACCCCCATAAAATTGAAACGAAAAGTGTTCTTCTGACCATAGTCTTGAATTTCAAGTGAAAAAAAAAACGGAGGCAAACCTCTTCCTGAGAGTAAACGGGCGGCGCCATTTCGGACTGAGTTTGCACTGTTTTCTATGGAAGCGTATTTGGTGTATAGGGTAACCAGCACATTATTTTTTCCAGGACTTGTGACATACGCCCTCTATTGCCCTTAGTGATCACCAGACATTTTTTAGGCACCAGGCGACGGATGATCAACAACACGACACGACAGCACGACACAACGCTACGGCAAGACATAAGGACGCGACAGCACGACGGCAGGACGCAACGGCAAGACGCGACGGCATCAAGAAACAACACAACGCAATACATTAAACACAGCATAAACGTAATGAGAAAGGAAGCGACGCCACGACGGCTATAGACTACCATAAGAATCGGGAACTTCAATTGTTTGCTCTCCGGAAATGAAAAGAATTTTCGCCCTCCACCCATACGGGCGTCCGTAGTTAATTCTACGGTTCTCACTTCTGACCAACCCTCGATTTGGCTCCGACCATGACGGTCGAAAAAAAACAACTCCTTTTTGATTTTAAAAGCTGCCAATCCTTTCTGCAATTGAACTTCCTACACAAGAAATAAACGATAGTTTAAGAATTTCCTTGCAAAACAAGAAATTATTTTTACCAACTTTTTCACCCAACCGAACCTCCCCGCCTCCAAGTCCAAAATAGGAGAACCGTAGATACGGACACCTGTAATAAATTTCTTAACACTTATGCTGACGTCACATTTTGTGAACCAAATCCAAAGCGAGGCTATGGGCGGTACCAGAATGTACACACAACGCAAGATGGCGGTAAATTCGAGAGACATCAGCGTTATCCCCGACATTACTTTGAGTTTGTAGAACAGTATGTCAAAGGGGGATCAAAAAGTAGCGGTGGGAAAGAAACTGGGGAAGGTCTACAAGTACTTCTCCGAGGCGTACGTTCACGATTTCAAGAGTGATTATTTTTAAAAGGATTGTTTTCCTACCTGCAGGTTGCGTGCAACGTTAACGTTGTCTTTAGGTATTTGTGTGTGGGACCATGTAATGCGTTCAGGGGCAACCAGGAGCCTGCATATTTTTCGCCATATTAACATCTCCCATTTAGGCCCAGTTATTATACCATATGGAAAGAGTCCCATATAAGAAGTTCACTTGCCAGTTGCCACCATGTGTACAAACCCCATGACTCAGTATGAGACATTGGGTCATGAGACATGGTCTGAAAAATGTCTTCATTGGAAATTTCTTGAAGGCCCCATCTCTTAGTGTCCCTCGTCCCGTCTGATCTTCAGTATCCATAGTTTGCAGCGTTTGGGGTCTGTTTCGTTCTGGTGGAGATTTTATTTTCTTTGCAGAGCACAGTAGGAAATGTGCAGTGCTTCGCGGCCATCTTGAAAGTGTACCGCCCATAGCCGCCTTGCTTTGGCTTACGAAATGTGACGTCAGCATAAATATTAAGAAAGGCGTATGGATAACCAAAAGTAGCCCTCTTGCGAGAAAAACTCAATTAGTTCACAAGTGCATCAGGTAAAATGTAATGTAAGTTTACATGCAATCCCCACATATCGCTAAAAATCAAAGACAAACACACGTACTTGGCTTCATCTATCTTTTGAATGATTATATGGGCTGTTCTCAGTGCTATGCTGGGTCAACCCGCCGTGGTCCGGGAAGCAAGCTTCGCCAAGACCCGGCTGCAAAACGTCAGGTAAACAACATCGCAGCTGCACTATGGGCAGACTGCCGTCAGGTGTTACGCTGACGAGAACAGATACATTCACATGATCTTGTGGCGACGAAGGCCGAGAAGCGATAGTCCATAACTTATAATGCCTGTGATGACGTGCTTATACAAGCTGATGAAATGCGACAGAAACTCCGTGTGGAATGTTTCCCGCCTGACTTCAGATGTAGGTGTGTCATAAACATGTACATGTACGTATACACGTAGGTATAATATGCTCAGCAGCAAGCCTTACCCGTTATTAAAATTATTCCTCCATCTTATTTTTCAATGCACTTGCTCTCTCACCAGGCCGATTTACTACAACTAAAATTTCAAAACTGATTAACTCCCCGTGTGAAGTCCTAGATATAGTGTATGTTAAAGAGCATGATGCAATTTATGAATGTTTCCCAGCCTTAGAAAAACAGATTGTTACACGATGAAGACCGTACAGCCTGTAAGAAGGGTTCAAACTTATAGCCCCCACGTCACCCTCCAAAAAAACCCACAATTCAGCAGTATTGAGCAGTTTGATAGCTCCATGCTTGAAGTTTCATATTTGAGTGGTGGTAATGCGTGAACTGGAGACGTTACAATTTTTCTAGTTATTCAGGATTCAGTTAATCACAGTTATGCACATTATTATTATTCAGCTCACGTTGTTCGTACCCTTTGTGTACAGAAAGTTAGTTTTGATGAATGTGTTAACACATTTGACAATTTTATTTCCGTCTGGGCACGTTAACAACACATTCGACCGGTTTAACAGTAATGTGGAAAGGAAATCCTCCCAAAATAGCGGGTAAGCTGGACTTCTCATGTTTAGCTGTGTCTATCTTTGGACTGATTGTATGGGCTGTTCCCAGCTGCAGTGCTATGCTGGGTCAACCCGTGATCCGGGAAGCAAGCTTCGCCAGGACCCGGCTGCAAAAAGTCAGGTGAACAACATCGCAGCTGCGCTATGGGCAGACTGCCGTCAGATGTTACGCTGACGAGAACAGATACTTTCACATGATCTTAGCCACGAAGGCCGAGAAGCGATGCCAGTACAGGGCATCCGATGTCCTTTTTATAAAGTAAAACCATTCACAACGTTTTACAAACGTCGCAAACGTAGGCTAAACGTGTTAAAACTTACTCATGGGTGACGGGGGCAGAGGACGACTTCCGCATGAGCCGACGCAATGTGCATGGATGGACATCCGTTTCCCGTTCGTGTTATTATGCGTGCTAGCTGTACCGTCACGCGTGACTCATGATGCACGCACCGGAAAGTGTTTTGCGACTTGCCTACGTTCGCGTAGGCCTACACTAGAAAATAAGAAGTCAAAAATGTCAACATTTACATCAAAATTAGAGCAACGTAAAAGAAACAATTTTCTGTCTTATAATTATGATATCGGAACGGAAATTTTTGTTTCCCAAATCCCGATAGAAAAGAAGCCGTAATATCCCGAATCGCTACCGCAATCGAAGAATGAGGGACTTGAGGGAAAAGGGGGGGGGGCTTAGGGAGGACTTAAAGTCATGGTGAACTAATTTTGATCATACGAAATACTTGTTATGGGCAATAACTTCTTGATCGCAGCTATCTGTTTTCATAGGCTGAGGCTACAAAGCCGAGCGATATATCATAGATGCGACCAGTAGCGTACATTCTATTGTACGCTTTTTGAGGTCGGCAGTATGACAGAGGTCAAGGAATTTCTCTTGCGTTGCATCAGCTTGTACGGCGTGCGTCATCACTGCATTGTACATTATTTTACACGAATAAAAGAATGTCTAGTCAGCCTTGAATGATTCACGCGCATGCACATGTGCATTCTTGATTTTGTCCACGTGTGCGTGATGACAGTGGACAATGCAATGACGTACGTAAAACGTGTCAATCGTCAACGCAACGTTTCAAATGGTACATGTATTGCGTTATCGAAACGTTTGGGTCCCACCAGTTTCTATAAAAGGGAAGGCAGAGGCATCTACGAGCATCGCTTCTCGGCCTTCGTGGCTAAGATCATGTGAAAGTATCTGTTCTCGTCAGCGTAACATCTGACGGCAGTCTGCCCATAGCGCAGCTGCGATGTTGTTCACCTGACTTTTTGTTGCCAGGTCTTGGCGAAGCTTGCTTCCCGGACCACGGGTTGACCCAGCATAGCACTGCAGCTGGGAACAGCCCATACAATCAATCCAAAGATAGAACCTAGCACCAATGATTATATTCTGCAATTAGAGTTTCAGCACAAAGGAGTTCAGTGTATAAGGACAGCTAGAAATCAGTGGCTGTTTTGATTTAGCGTTGCACGTGTGGGGAATTTAAGCAACGCCAGTGATAATAGGGCAAACGCTAATTATCTTTGAGGGGGGATTCTGTTGCAAGAAAATTCGGAAATCTTGGTGACCATGGGGAAACAGAAATGGGAGCACGACATTTATGGAACATTTTGAAATCTATTTTCGCGGGATGCTACTGGTCGATCATGTGAACGAACTTTATTGGAAAGGGCAGGGTCGGGCGTAAATTCATTTTCACGTTCAAATGATTACTCTGCCACCTTAACATTTCCTCTGGAAAACATGAAGTCCACATTGAGATGAAAACCACCGCAACCACCATCTCCCAGCAGAACATTGTTTGTAAGTCCCATTTGAGTATTTTGTTTCAAGACTTATAGTAAGTTTGCGCATCAACACCAAAATCACCTTTATACATTTTGTTAAATAAGTCATTGTCTTGCACACTACCGCCTTCCCCTACCTTTTTTTCAATCCCAGTTACACGATATCAATGGGAAAAAAAAGAAACTGGAGCACAAGACAGAGTCTGATTTCGGCTACTTTATTGTTACCACATCAAACAAAACGTTTCCATCACTACAATATCTTCATTAAACTTCTGCCGTACAAAATGGTTAAAAGTTTAGTTAAAATCTTTTTGTTGAAAACATTTAAGGTACATGTAGCTTTCAACTACCAGAAAATGAAACGGCATTTTGTGTAATGCAAAAACAGAAATCAGTATCTACTCAGAGTTAATTGCTCAGTGTTACACGAAAGTACAAACAATAACAAGTAAATATAGTTTTTACCATAATGTGAAATTACTATAATAAACGTCACATAATTCTCATTCTTTTCGACCAACCAATGCTATTTACATGTACAAAGTATTCACAGATTTTAACAATAGGGAAAATGACGTCATGAAACGGGGATGAGATTGGCCAATGATAAAAAAAGTTGAAAACAGCCGAAAAAAGACATAAAGAAGCTGAACTGTGAAAATCTTCTTTTCTGAAAATTTTTTTTGTACACAGCCAGTGAGGAAAAAAAGCTGAAATCCAAATAAAGCTGAAATCAGCTGAAAAGCTGGGAAATCTCAGCCCTGATGAAATTCAATCATGCTTTGGATGAGTAATGGTTGTTTGAATGTTTTGTTAGTAAGCAGGTACTCAAACGTTGTTGGACACACTCCAAAGTATGTCATATGCATCAAGCCGATTTGAAAGTTTCAGAAATGAACTACCACCACAGGTGTGGCACTTTGTTGGTCTCTGCGCAGTTATGACCCCTTTCCACAAAGTAGCAAACTGCATAATGATGTTGCAATAAGCTTGCCCTTACAGAGTCCTCCAACATCAGCACATACCCGTGAACGTGAATGCAGTTTGCCACTTTAGTGAAAAAACGGTTAAGACATGATGTCAAGTGACGGTTTGCACTGCCGACTTGCGTGGCCTTACTTAAAGAAGTTACCTTAAAATTCAATCAGCTAGGCTGAGGTGGTGCTTGCTTACCCTTGAATACATTTTTAACAGCAGCATCATAAGAGCTAATGTTTCTGTTAAGGCAGATAAGTTGATGTAGCCACATGTGCGAAGTATTTGAAAATAAAAATTCTCTACAATGATGCACTGGATTGGACGCTTTCTATAGTGTTGACTATGCAGTCAGCTAAGCTGAAATGCAGCGGAAGTATTTACATCATATACAATGTAAGCATCTAAATATACATGTAAATTGTATTCATTCTGAACTTTATCCATCTACCCGAATGTTCCCAATAACAAAAGGTTGGACAAATGCAAGAATAACATGGTCCTGAGTATGTTTACTGAAAACGAAAAAAAGAAAAAGAAAAACCACCCAACACATTACGGTTGTCCCTATTCCATCACTACTTTCACCAAACCCTCAATATTTGTTTAACCTAGCTAAGAATGCACAATCCTACAGATTCACACTAACATCTCATTCCATTCCTTGCATCCATTTTAACAAAGCATTCCCATCAACGCCAAGATAATGTGGCACTCATGCATGTTGTCATTAACAAATAACCTGACATTGTCTGCATGACTATACTTTCAACCCCAAAATCTAACTTTGGAATAAAATGCTAGCTACCATTCTATTTTCTTTTCACAAAAACCATTTTTACAACGTGAAACATTTCCATGTACAAAGTAACTGTATTCGCAATTGATGCAATCTGATTTGTATTGGTAAACTGGGCTTAATCACAACCTTTCTGAGAAACAGGGCTTATCATCAGAACTCGTCTTAAATCTCCAAATCTTTACAGGCTACCTGAGGTTGATTATCATATAACCAACCAAGGACTGCAGATCGCTTAGCAAACATGTGTAAACCAGTTATAACTCTAAGGTTGGGATGTAAAAACCAACTTAGTGAAACCGTAAAATCAGATTACTTCTGAGACAGGGCAACCACTAAGCACTTACGTGCCTCTTCAGCTATCACGGTCAGCTCGTCAATGCGGACCCTCAAGCGTTCATTCTCCGATTCAAGCTCCTGCGCCTTGATGGCCATTTCGGACTCGCGCTGCCTTCGGGTGGCGCGAGACCGCTGCGACGCAATGTTGTTCTTGTCACGGCGCTGACGATACTTCTCCGCGGCTGACAAAGCACTGGCTTTGGCGCGGGAGGTGCGGGCCTTCTTAGTGGGTGGGGCCCCCTCCTCTTCATCGCTGCTAGGGGCAGGGCGACGGAGGATGCACTCCTCTTCCTTGATTGCTGTCTCAGGGCCAACAGTTGTTGGCGGGATGGTCAGAGTTGTTGCAGGCGGTTCTGCATCGGTCATTAAAGGGTCGTTGCTTCCGGCAATGGAAGTGGCTACGTCACTGAGATCAGATGGACCAGTCTCCTCCTGAAATGTGAGAAGATTAAAAATGAGAACAAATGTACATGTAAATGTACAAGAAAATTAATGTGCTCCACACTATGAGATTCTAAAAAGTGTACCATTGTCTTTGTATTTCCAGTGAATTCCCATAATTCTACGGATATTCGATTCAGGATAGCGACTGCCATTTTCCCCATGGGATGTTCTATAAACCAAACTCATTGCAGGATACGGTTCAAATCTAACAGTCACTCTAGACAATGGATGCAGATATTCAACTCCACATTGCGCTACACAAAATGAGCATCACTCTGTTTATAAACAAAGCTACACATGGATTGTATAGCTGAACTCTGAGGAAGTTGCAAAGTGTTGGGCAATATATGAAAGGCCTTGTTATTTCTGCAAGCCCAGCTATAGCCTGGGCATGTGCAAACAAGTCCAAGCCCTGCAAAGAGCTCCCTGCACACTGATGATGCAGCAATTGCAACTGGTTGTGCAATACCATCCAAGTCATGAATATTAATCACTTCCATGTACCTTTGACCCTACCTGCAGTGGAATCATTGTCAAGGACTTTCAAAAGCATTATAACGTATCCAACTGGTCGACCAAACAGTGAATTCACATAGGTACAATAGTATTCCATTGCTTGAGATTGCATCAGTTTGTGAAGTCATGAATAATTCATTAACATACACATTCGCATACTTAATGTACAGTAAGCATGACAGTGGTCTGACGACCGAGAGCAACTGATGTTTGTTTTGTCAGCCCAATCTCAGAGAAATCCAAGGACATGTTGAACTGAGACCCCTCCCCTTTATAAGAGACAGCAATCTTTTTGAAGTTTGGCTATTTGAACAAATTCATATATATAGTTGAACATTTAATGCTGACAATTTTGTTTCTTGAGATTTTTATCTAATTTTTCACAGTATGCAGATGTCCTAATTTGTTATTATAAAAAGTAGGAATTGTTTTGGGCAACGGAACGCAACTTTTCTTTCACATTTCATTTCCCTTACTTAATCGCAAACAACAGATTACTGCCATTATGGTTTATATTCTACATGACAACAACCTATGCTTGGGCATTTTCAAAATTTTCAGAAGAAAAACAAATTATCAGAATGTTTTTATTAACATCTCACCGCAAACTGCTCGAGGAACCCAGTCAGATCCGTAAATGTATTGAAGAAATGATCCACAGAGGCATCGCTCTCGGCTGGGCTGATCTCCCCGCCATCGTCGCTGGCCGAGGCTGAAGCGACTGACGGGATGACCTCCCTGGGCTTCAGCGGCCCATCCCCTTCCCCTTGGGGATACAGTGGGAAGTCTTGAAGAACCGGCAGGTCCTCCTCCAAGACCCCCATCAGATCAGGGAAGAGCATCAGGTCTGTGAATTCCTCCACATTGACGGTAGGAGGCTGGTCCGACTCTGTCTCTGTGACATGGCCTGCTAGCGCATTGCCGAAAGACAGGTCGGGATCACCTGAGCGTTTGTGGGAACAACGAAGGGGATATCAGTTTGGATCTTTCCGGGGCTTGATCTTCAGGTGAAATAACATAACTCTGCCTTTATCACCACCCCTCCCACACTACAAAAAAAAAAGTAATAATTCTTCTTCCCAAGTATTTTCTGAAATCAACTCACCATGGTTAAAAAGGCTGCTCATTGGCCGGGATGCCTGTTGAGCAGTGCCGGGGGCCAAGAACCCAAGGAACGTGCTGTTGTTCTTCAGGCGCTCTGTCGGAACAACTTCGATAGGGCGGTCTCCCGGCCCCCGGCTCACTACTGTCTCCCCTAATCCTCCGCAAGCCATCTTGGCCGCTGGTTTGTGATTTGACGATCTTGGAAAGGCCCATGCTGCTTCAAAAGAATCGCAAATGGTCTCGGGAGAATCCACGGTAGAAAGGGTCTAGCCCCTTGTTGTCAACCACTGAGGGTGTTTGTGCACCCTGGGGGGAACATACAACCATGACAATAGAATCTATAAACTTCGGAGATGACAATTCCAAGGCCAAAAATGCCCAAAAATCTAATTGCAATAGCTACCTGTTCCACATAAAAAAATTTAAAATTTAAACAGGCCAAGAAAAAACTATTGCATGCGATACTTATTTGTGGGTTCAAAGACATCGTCTACTTTCTAGCATCGTCTAGCTAGCATGGCTAATGTGTACATGTATACTTTTGGTAGTATACTTTTGGTCAAGTTCTTTGAGCAAAAAAAGTGCGGAATTACATACAATACTACTGACAGTACTGTCACCAGCACTGTATGTAGCCAAGCCCAAAGTTTGAAACAAATCTAGACTGAATTGTCACTGACACTGTTTTAACAAATGGAGGTACCTTAAACGCTTTCCTGCTACGCTTGTACCGTCTCTTCGGACGGTAAAATCGCCGTTCTCGTCGGAGGATTGGCTTTCCAGCCGGCCCTTTTCTCGGAGTACCTTTCACCAACAGATCTCGAATTCGTATGAAAAATCTTGGACGGGATTGCAATATATTGCGACATCGACAAACCTTCGTGCGCATGTGCATTGCCATGATGGCAAAATAGACATTAGGTCATTATTTTTGTACCAATCAACGCTATCTGTTACTTTTTTGGGAAGGAAAACGTCATCGACAGCCAATGATAGAGCTTCAATCTGTACAGCCCGCGTAATGGTAGCGGCCTGTGTTGTCAGTCTTGTCCCTACGTGTTTACGCCCACCGCGCGCCGGCACACGCAACCTTCGTGAATGCAGCGGCTGTCACGTCATGCGGGCCTATTGTGGTTTACCTCGCTACCACTGCGCAAACATTAATATTATTGTTGTCCGCTGAAGTTATTTATAGATCATTGGCACTCCTTCATCAACAGTAACTTTATTCAGCCACTTCAGCATTTTTTTGATATAATCAAGATTCGTGGCCATTTTTATTGATAACTTTTCAGAATGTAGGTTGTTCGCTTAATTTTACGATAAACCTGTTTTTTTTGTCTGTATAAACATCAAGACAGGAAAATGTTCGTGTTAATTTTTTTTCGCACATTGAGGGTATGATCCTATGGCCTTCGGTGTATAGGGGCCAATTCCTCAATCAGGCGGAATTTAAACAAATAATAATTTATATGACGGGGCTTTCTTAAGGAATTTTCCAGCCCTCTCGCCCAGTGCATGCATAATGGGGCATGGGTATTTACAGCTCCATGCTATGCTACGAAAGTTGTCATATCATATGCATTCGCGTTGCAAATGATCTGGAACTAAGCGGTGTGGCCACGATGTGGCAGCCCATCAGCATGACGATACTCAGTCGATTCCAGTGCGGTAGCTAACGGGTGTTTTTACAATAATCAGGATCGATGGTTGAACGCTTTCTGTAAATATTTCATTCAGACCTCGGCCTCTGACTTGTACCTGTGAGCTATATGGCAACTTAAGTCCGAGACTGTGACTAAGGAGCAAGGCTGGAGACCTATCATGGTCAGACCATAGAGCTACCTAGTATGGTCAGACCATGGGAAGGGAAGTTTCCTCCATGGTCAGACCATGGTCGTCGGGCTGTAGACTGGGCTGGACTTTGATTACAAATACTGTTATTTAGAGAAATAGAGGTGATTTAAAATGACGGAACTAAAAATTGAAAAGAAATTTGTTACAGCGGTCATAATTTTGATATTCCAGTGAAACATAAAAGAGAAACTTGCTTCTGAGCATTACCTCTCATGCAACTTGAAAAAGGCCTGACCGTACTCCGCGGCGCGGCTCGCTCATGCATCGCACGCGCGCGTGGCCCGGCAGTTGGGTCGGACGTAGGCTTATTACGCATGCGACTTGACCCCAAATTATGCCGGCCATTTTGAACGGAATCTATCGTACACGAAATCGAAATCGATGATTCGCAACTAAAACTAGCTAGCGCTAGGTGGATTTGCATGTAAACGTACAGCAGAGAACAGACCGCAGCCCGACTGGGTCACACGTGGTGTAATTTTTGGGAGGAGACATTTTTGAGCCGGGCAATATGAGCCTTTCTCTGAGGTAACATAGGAGTAAACTAGCCTTGCCCTAGTGTGGCACGGATCACTCCCGATTTATAAATCGGGAGTGATCCGTGCCACACTGGTGGGGCTAAAACTAGCCCAGGTTGGACCATGGACACATGATGGAGGAATGTGTTTTATTCCTCCATGGACTAACGTAGTACGGTCAGGGAGTCCACCTGGGCTAGGTTGTTAACAAAATTCCACTCAAGCATTTGACATGTTTGAGCATGTCGTTAAGCACTCATGACCGGGGGCCAATTTCATAGAGCCACGAATATTAATAAGCACAAAAAACAAAGGTCACTGAAGGTAATATAGGCCGTACTACCAGCACTCACAGCAGCTCAAACTCTGTGTGATTGTCATGCTAAAAACCATCCCAACAATATACATCACATGATCCATGATCATGATGCAGTTTTTGGCTGGTTATTTGATTTATCTAAGCGAGATTTTCTTGCACTTAATTAAATTTTGTGCTTAACATGCTTAAGCAGCTCTAATCATGATAATATGCCTGTTACGCCCCAACTATAGCATCAGGCCCAACTATAGTTGGGCCCATCCCAACTAGAGTGCTACAGTTGGGCCGGCCCAACTACAGCAGAGAGGTCCTGTGTGCATGATGTGCCCAGCATGTGCCAAAGTCATACTGTTTACAAATGTCATGTCATTGGTCCAGCCCAACTGCAGCACTACAGTTGGGACTGTCCCAACTATAGTTGGGATGTAACATACCCATGATTGATAACGTCAAATCATCATCATTCATGCCATCAAAGTTAAATGCTGTCAACAACGTTTTGGCCGCCATGTGCACGATTGAGCATGTGCCGAGTTCTCCCAACCAGCCATAGCCATTTGATTTGGAGGCAGTTGTCTGGCAGTGGATGTGGTGGGCGCGTTGTGCGATGTCGATTGCTCCAGTTGCCAGTATGGGAATGAAATCTCTCAGTTTACCTACCTGCTTTTGAAACAGTCTTCCAAGTTCCACTAAATGTATGTCCACAATAAACCTTTTTGATGTTCGCAATGCATTGTGGGTTAGGATGACAAACATGCAATGCATTTTATGCACAACTCTAAGGGCGAATGTACCTGAAAACGTTAATCAGTTTCTATTTTATGTCATTCACCTATTCAAGCAACCCCCTTCTGACAAAGTGTTGGATTATTGATTTGGGACACAGATATTCACAAACTTCAAAGTTGAAAGCTTGGCAGAGAAGGAAAATCTGGAGAATCCCTTCCAACAACACCACTTTTTGTCATGAACCGTGCTTTGACTACTTCGTGAATTTTAATGTTCTAGTGTTGTCCAATCAAAATTACGACTTGCAGCTCATTCATCCCGCTTTGACCAGTCACGTTCATTTTCAGCCTGTATCGTGACTGGTGCCCTTAAAAAGGGCAATTGAGGTTGATTTGTTCTTACAAACTTTTGGAAACGTATTTGAAAATGTTTCTTGTATAATCTGATATATAATACGCATGCATCTGTGAGTTGATGAGTAGATACATAAAAAATATTTAATTGAAAACTGTAAATTGATTTTTGACTGGTTCACTTCCCCCATAGGGTTGTCCATAAAATGCATTGCTTGTTTGTCATCCATATCCATAATGCATTGTAAACATTGAAAAGGTTTATTGTGAAAGAAAGGATGATCGGCTGAAGGCAGAATTCATGAGCAAACTTTTCAATATCAATAACTTAGGCCTATATTTAGATCAAAATGATCAAGCCCTTAAGTGCAAATCACTTGGCCTACGATCATGACGATGTCTTTGTCTTCAAGTGTTTTTCCGAAAAGAAAGCGAATTGTCCTACAGTCATTGTAGGCCTATGTACATGTACCCTAGCCCTACCCCTCACTACCCCTAGAACCTGAGAACTGTGTGATTTGATGCCTGCTGCGTTCCCATCCCTTGTTCGTGGGAGTGAAGTGTGGCATACATCAGACCCCACTGTTCTGGGGCCTAGGGCCTACATGTAAAACATGTAGAACTCTGGGGTTCGTCGTCCCCAGCGTGTGCTTGGGAGTGCGATGGATGATGAACCCCACAGTTTGAATCAGCTTTGTTAGCATTTAGACATGTACTCCCAGAATTGTGACGTACATGGAGTATCATGAGACATGATCAAGCAACATTGATCTTGTCTTGAAAACTGTGCTTTGTATAGTCCTGGTAGTTACTTGGGAATAACTAGACTAGGGTCTAGAGTTAGGCTACTCAAGCATTAGTGTACATGAACATCTACATATAGGTCTATCAGTGTCTCTAACATGTCCAAGGCAAAGTACCGCTACTAAACTTAAAGATTGAGAAGTCATTTTGGAGAGGATACACGTAGCTTGAAAATGTGAAATCCTTAACAATTATAGCAGTTGAAGAGGTAAACATTTAACATACAGACATGTACATGTGTTAGATTAGTCATGTTAGTTGCACGGTCGTAAGGCCGATTAAAATTAATTCCTTGTTCAACATCACTCAAAGTTATAGTTTTGGGCCAGGAGGACATTTGATACATGTATTTCAAGTTAGTATTTTCCAGACTTTTCAGATCTAAAAAATACCTTTCTTGTACAGTATTTTAATACTTGAGTGTCTCATCATAACAGCATGATCAGATCAATTAGTCATGGTTGTGGGCAAGCGTAGAGAATTAAACAAAAAACAAAACACGAGACCATTTCTGTGGTGGAGACACATCTGCAAGGTTTAAAAGGGCCAGAAATTTGTGAAAAAGTTGGAAATATCAAATATCAAAAGAAGTTTGGGTGGTAGGGAAAATCTGATTGGGTGGTTATGATAAACAAAGTATTCATTTTAATTGGCCCAAAAGTGACACTCGCCATTCTTTTCTGCGCATTTTTTTTTAATGTGCTCAGCTGCAATCATGCAGACACTTTTTGTTACAAAGAAACCTTTAAGAAGTACAGAGCAATGTGGAAGACACTCTCTTCAAAATTGGGATTTGCCAAATCATTGTATCTAATCTTGTGACCTGATTTGAAATCTATTAAATAAGGACAGTAGTTTTTACTGAATGGATTACAAGCACAGTGTGAAATTTGGTACATGTAGGGTAGATGGCTGAATGAAAAGTTAAGGTTACTTTTTCATACACATGTAGGACTAAATTATCCCAGAATGACAAGATGAAATTAGGTTTTCTTTGAACAGAAGACCACTGATAGACATATCTGTGGCTTCGTTCCTGTTCATGTTGTTTGGTTTTGTCTTCATTGTGTTTCATTACACTCAAAAGTTGTATAAATGCTGCAGGCGTCGCATGCATCATGGCTTGCTATCAAACAGCGTGCATGCATTGTGGCAATTCAAAGGAATAGAGTGCACAGTTATGGAGCTATTAAATGTGTGATTAACTTGCCAGTGTGATATCAATGGTGGTGCTACATGTATGCCCCAACTTCCAGTATAGCAATGTACATGTAACTTTGACTTACTGGAGGAGGTTATAATCAGAACTGTACACATGTATCGCAGTCAACACTGGTCAACCTTATTCTAACAAAGTTTGAGGGAACAGACTAATTCCTTTGTTATAATAACCCAAGACTTTGTCATAACAGGAGTGGGAAAAGAAAGAAAACAGGGGATCAGGCCCACACACAGGACTCCATACTCTTTGGAAGCATAGACCATGTCTAAATTAATTGGTTGCAAAGTTATGCACGAGCCCATGGTTAAGCTGCCACTTACATGTATTTATGTAAACTTTATGTAAAAAATTTCCCTCGGTCGCAGACTCGAATCAATAGATACTGAACATTGGTGATGCTTCGAAATCAATGAAACAGAATCAAAGATCTGTTAATTTTTAACTGTGACCACCTGACAACAATTAAGAAATTCAAGCCTTGAGTACTGTCTGCTGTTGAGTTGCCAACCACAAAGTGGTTCTCTTAAAGGTCAATTACTGAGTAATTTAGTGCATCGCTTGGCCTCCAGATATCTGCAAATGATAATAATCTTCAGCAGTTAACCAGTGCCGTGCACATGAGTTTGCAGTACCAAAGCAAATTTGTTCTCTAATTTGGAGGAAAAAAGAAAACATGCGATGAGGGGAGGTTTTAGCATTCAGCACGTTATCGTAGATCAACACGCCTTGTGTTGGTCAATTTAATTCTTTTGCATCCCTGTCTCTGGGGCCAAGTGTTTGGAGTCAGGTGTGCATGTAAGTCCGTTTGAAACTCTCATTCGGCAGTGGAGACCTGGTGTCAGGCGTGTGCATGTCATTAGTAACTTATACTGTAACATTGAGCTTCAGTGCTGTATGCAGACCAGTCCTCTCACGTAGGTATACTTTGTTGTAACCAATCCAGTGAGGCTTAAAAATAGACTTGAAATCCTCTAGTTTGAGGTACAGGCTGACTTTCACACTAGAGAGAAAACACAGTAAAATGGGTTGGTCACGTTAGCAGTATTTTCAATAATTTCTGCAAGTGTTGCAGCACCGGAAAATTATTTTGCACATGTGAATCAGCGAGTGTCATTTGAGTAAAACAATCCACCCTGAGCTGTATGAAGTACCGGTACACCCTCACCGTCAAAAGAAAGACAGACAGGTACGCAGTTTTCCAACTGGGTTCTTGTACGCACTCTGCGTGCATGCAAAGACCATACATTCCAGAATAAATTCTTTGCGCGTATTCAGCGTGCCCTACGTCAAATGCGCATAAACTTGCGCGCCTACGCGGTGATTTTGAACCAAAGGACTGTCAGTTTTATTGAAAAACACGGCCTCCTTTATTCCCGCTCGGAGCGGATAGAGCACGTCATTCTTACAACGTTGCTATTCCCTGTTGTAGTAAAAAATGCATATGTACTGTACATATAGATGAAAGAAACTTTACCTGTGTTTTATATCGTTAACCCTTAAAATGTTGTACACCCTGGGGCAATTCTTTTAATTTTAGAAGTGTGTTTTTTAGACACAGAATTCTCCAAAAAAATTCGTTTTTTTGTTGGGGGGGGCTAATTTCTTTGTAGGCTGTCGACAAGAGGCTGCAAAAGAACATTGGCTTGTATACAGCTTCCTCTGGTTACCAGTCAGCATGTGCCAATGTCATTTTATTAAAATCAGCAGTAATTGTACACGTACATGCTAGCTAAATCTACATGTACATGTACATGTAGTTCTTATCTTTGTTATGGATGAAATGCTAGGTTGGCATACATGTACATGTACATGTATTTGATGAACTCTGTCAAGAGTGAGCCATGAAAGATTGAAAAAGGTGGAAAAAAGTTCTAATCAACTTTGTGTTTGTGGACTGTAGTTGGGCCAGCCCAATTGCAGTATTGTAGTTTGGACCACCCTAACCTTAGTTTGGACTGATGTCTTAGTTGGGGCAGGCGACATTATAATTCAGCAGATTAACTTGGACAAACTGTTTATGTCTTAAAGTAGCGTAAAGGAGCTCTGTAAATCAAACTGTAAAATGTCATTGATCTGAAAGGAATGTGAGCCTTCGTAGTTCAGCAGTGCGAGTGATTTGAATGAATTTACACTTCTCCCAAACGAGATAACATGGCAAAAGTTAGTCTGCTTTCCTGATTTTGGTGCACACTGATTAAAGATGTTTGTTGCTGATACATTGGAGGGTGCCCTACTTGTATACTATGATGTATGACCTGTGTCACTATTTGTTCATTCAGAAAACTGTGGAAAGCAAAAGTGAGTTGGAATGTGTAAAACCCTTTTGTCCATCCGCTAGAATAGTGACCACGTACAGTACACGTGTTCTAGTCTCAGGTGCATGTGACACACATACAATATCATTTTCTCACTCTTTGAGGTATGAGACTGTGTGTGCATTTTGGTACATGTCTTAAAGTGGTCACAGGAGCATGACATTCAAAGAGAAGGATCCAAACACATGTCTGTGTGCGCCCGGCATACAACTGCTGTTCCTCTGCACTGGTAGCCCTTTGAGTGTTTCAAGATGAGATTGATTCATTCTGTGCAGTCTTTTGGATTCCTATGTGAAGCACATTGGTCCTTGATTTTGGAACTCAGGTTTTTCCACAACCTCCAAAAATGTCAATACCTGTACGTACATGTACCTGCAAAGGTTAATTGTTGAAGAGCAAGGCTTGATTTTTGCGTCTTTTTATAGTTATAAAAATATATTAAAAAAATATTAAAAGAAACACAAAGAATCAGGAGCTGTTATCATGCCTTTTTTTTGTTGAACAGAATTTATTTTTTAATATATAAAAAACAAAATAAAAGAAATTATTGTTTTATTTGTAATTTCAGTGAACTTTGACAAGATAGGAATATGTGCCGGTATGTATGTAGAATATAATGTTCATAAATTAAATATCAGCATGTACACATATCGACAAATCAAATTCAATGATTTTTTAATTAATTACATGTACACAGGTTAGGTGCAACAGGGACGCAAAAAATGCCACACTTAATATCTATGTGGACCCCAAACTTATAAAATAACCCCAATGTACATGTACATTCCGGGTATTAGCAACAAGTAGAGTTATGAGTGCATTAGTGTTTGCATGGTAAGATCTTACATGTATTTACTTGTAAACGGTACAGATTTGTGCCCTGTGTACATGTACTTGTACGTACATACGTGTACATGTGCAGTGTTCACAAAATGCAGCGACTAGCCAAGATATATCGTGCAAAAACATGATAAAATCCATCATTTTTGTCCTTCTTGTGTGTTGAGAACAAATGTCAAGGGCTTGGACAACAAAGGAGCGTTGTTTGTTCTGTGGTATGCAGATGGTTGAACTGTTGAATGGTCAAAGTCTGTGGTTCTCCCTGTTGACTGTACATTTACATGTACGTGTTGTTCTTTTTTTGGAGTACGACTGGTTTGGCCAGAAATACTTGTAAATGTCCTTGCAAACAAGTAGAATATCATTTGGATGATGAAATTTATTGTCATTTGCTCATAAATATGAGGAAATTTATTTTCCCCTTAACTTTGACAGACCCTACATGTAGCTTAGCAAACAGTAGTTTGTGATGAGGGCTATATGAGTGTGGCCAGAAAGGCCATGAAACATCCGGGATAAAAAAGGATAAATGCTTGGCAAATCTTGGAGACGTTACCCGTGTATGTAGCCCGTATGGTAGAGAATTGTTTTTGAGCAGTACCAGAATAGTGCTTACAAGGGTACCTGTAACTTTCAAGTGACTTAATCTTTGTATAATTCATTCTACCAAAAATAGGACAAAAATAGTACAAATTCTGAAAACCTTTTTGTCTGTTTGGACATTTATCACAAACTGATAGCTAATCTTCCAACTTGTGTACTTTTGTGACTTATTCAAAAAGGTTTAAGATGCCTCGTATCATAAACGACGTTACAACAAGTTTACCTGAGTGACAGAGTCCACTCAGATTAATCTGAAGCTACCTGTATATGTAACAACCAGGGTACTTCGATATTGCTGTGAGGAAATTAACTTTGAGTTTTTACCATGTGCATGTCATCTTTGATGGTACAATGTACATGTACTTCAAAGAGGTTGTATTTAGAATGTGTTATATATAGATTGTGTACAATGTAGATCAGGAGTGATTTTGTTCATGAGGCTTTAAAGGATGATGAAGATGCTGATTTTTAAAGAAAAAAAGACGAATTCAAAGAAAGCAAAGCCAAGAAATTTGTTGATATTCGTTTGCAAGGGAATACTTTGCAGTGTTGCTATATCCAACTAAGCGTGGGGAAATTTTGTTTATCCAGATCTGATTTTGGTATGGATAAGGGCCGACGCAAGAAGCGTCGAGAGCTGACGGAGGAGCAGAAACAAGAAATCAAGGAGGCCTTTGACCTGTTTGACACCGACAAGGACAGAGCCATTGATTACCATGAACTTAAGGTACTACTTATAGCAAGGACTTCTTGAGAAAAGACCGCAAAATGCTGCAGTCTCAAAGTTTTAATATAAGTTGATCCCCTTGTTTACATCCTTGATCTTCCCATCACTGGATTAACCACCGGGAGCTTTCTAAAAGATCCTGATGTTCTTTTAGCTGAAGCAAGTCTGTGCAAGTGCATAGTCCGACTCAGAAGAGTCTCAAGTGTTTCATTTGTGGAATGCTCCCAAATCTCATGCCTGACAGGTAGCAATGAGAGCCCTGGGATTTGACGTGAAGAAGGCGGATGTGTTGAAAGTGCTTCGAGACTATGACAAGGACAACAGTGGCAAGATCTTCTTTGATGACTTCAATGAAGTCAGTGAGTATTGCTTAGTACTGTGAAACTGAAAAGTGACCACTTTTCCCCAGATGAAGGGTGTAGGAGCAGGGGTCTACTTGTTACAGTTACATCGTAACTGTCAGGCTTTTTAAGTCATGTGTTCATTAGAACAATTTCTCAGGTCTCAGCATGTTTAAGAAGATCTCTAACGTAGACCTGTGCTTGTGAACCATTTATGAGTGAACTGCAAAGTGAAGCTCTCTCCAAGTCAAATATTCGAGTCAGGTTTTTTTGTCCGAGTTTCTATGGAGTGATTTTCGTGAGTGCTGTTGAGGGATGTTCTTGAGTTTTGACATTCCAGCATTACAGTGGGTTTTGTGTCATTCAATAGGGCTGATTGTAATACAAAGCGCCAGTGACAAAAAATCCTCTCATATAAATTGTCGTGTATGTTCACGCCCAGTTTTCCAGGATCCTTTGACTTACAGGTGAAGCATCATTCCAGAAGATTGAAATGAATGCTTTTTGGATATGCCAGGGTAAAGAGACGTAACAATGGTACAGATATTTCAAGGGACCCACCCCTAACATATTCATCAGTTGGTTGATTAATGTGTACTTGCACATGTAGATTTGAATGGATTTCCACCTGTGAAGGACAATAAAGCAGATGTGGTAGAAACATTCTAATTAGAATTGCTTGCATTATGGTATAGAAGCAGTAACTACATGTAGGTTCAAATCCTATAGAGTACCGAAGTGTGATGTCACTGTGAACCACAAAGTGCAGTGCAAACGAATGGCGTACGCGGCCGTGTTGGTTCACGCACTAGTTCTCGCGCTAATGCCTTTTGACACACTAATTGTGCGCGTGACGTATTCACTTCGGTACTCTATACAAGTAAACTTCATGTTTTTCCCACAAGTTTGAGACAGCACTGGGTATAAGGTGCTCACAGTATATTGCATGTTCATTGGTGAAGGGAAAAACCACACATTGCAGACTGTATATGTGTTTTGAACCATTGGGACGCTACTTGCGTGATACTTTTGCATTGGTAGTAGATATGTAGTGGTCTTGTGCAACCATGGCCTGCTGTTTGACTGTTTTGCTTGACCACTGTCTCCTGTCCGACAGTGACCGACTGGATGTTGGACAGGGACCCCCACGAGGAAATCCTGAAGGCCTTCCGCTTATTTGACGACGACGACTCGGGCAAGATCAGCCTGCGCAACCTGAGGCGGGTCGCCCGGGAGCTCGGGGAGAACATGACGGAAGAGGAGCTGCGGGCCATGATTGATGAGTTTGACAAAGATGGGGATGGCGAAAGTAAGATTTGTCAAAGAATAAGGGGGGGGGGTTGTTCAAGAATAGTCATCCAATCCTTGATGGGTACAAATTCTAATATTTCCCCACACACCCCAAAAAATAAGAAATAATAATAATAACAAGCACTTGTAAAGCGCCCTCTATCTAGCAAACTATTCCGAGGCGCTGTATTATCATTATCCCTGCACATTGGGCTCACGCATCATCTGAACATTCCTGAAACCATCTCAGCTCCCTGGGGAGTATACTAGCCCGGTGCTGCAAATTTCGGCGCAAAGAGCTAAACAACCGTGTCTGCCTTCACAGGTACCCATTTACTCCTGGGTGGAGAGAGGCACATTGGGGTAAAGTGACTTGCCCAAGATAACAACATGCTGCCACCAGCTGGATTCGAACCCCTGACCCTATGATCAGGAGCTACAAACCCCAACCACTAGGCCACATGCCTCCTCAAAGAAAGAAATGAAGTGCTTGAGCTGCCGGACTATGAGTCCTGAAAAGTCAATCTGGACATTCTTGCTATTGGCGTCACTTCTTTGCTTGCCATTGAAGACAAAATTGGAAGCTACTCCTGAGGTCATCAGTGGTTCAGTACAAAGGTTATGGTGGGTAGACAACTGAGGGCGCTGTGTAAATATATGCACATAGTTAAATCAAGTGGCTGTGCATGCACGTGCACACTGTGATGCGGCGATGCTAATTGTGTGACACTACATTGCCGATGTACATGTTCTTGAAGTTGTGACGTATGTGCATTTTGCGTACTTGTTATAATTTGGGGTAGTAAGTAAAATTACGTCAGAAAAGAAAACATGGTGTGAGTCAGGTTGGCGTAGTGGTTCTTTCCTCACCTTCCACCTCTGCGGTCCGGATTCGATTCCCTGGCTCGGTCCGCATGTGGATTGGGTTTTCAGTCCCTACCTGATTCCATGGGTTTACCCGGAACATCCCTCTGGGGTTTTCCTCCCACCTCTAAAACTGTGACTGCTTCTCACTGTCTCCTCTCTACAGGTTTCTTCAGGCTTGCGAGCTACAGTGCCTAGGGCGCTTTTGAGGAATCCTTGGTGTCAGTACCAGAAATTAATAATGAACTTGTCACCCCTCTGCACCTGATATTGTCAGTCGACATTCTTTCGTTGTCAGAGGGCCTGATAGGATGAGCCCATCAGTATTGAAACTGATTATGCACCAAATGTAATTGTGGGTAAATCCCTCCCGTTAACACATTTCGCTTTTCGCTTCCTTTTTTAACAGTTAATGAGGAAGAATTTGTTGCCATCATGACAGGAGATACATGAAGAATGTGCTTCCCTCGTCCCTTGTACATAAGATTTGGACCAACAGTCATTTGTACAGGACTTCGGTCCACTCTGCCAACTCCGCTTGTAGATATCTTCCAGAGCGACATTTAGCATCAGTGCGGCAGAAGGCCCAGAGCAGTCACATTCTGTTTGCCGTGTGCCCACGCCCGTAATCCTTCGCATCACTGCCACTTTTTACGCAGTCGTTCTGTGCTGCTCCATGACTGGGCTCATCTATTTTTATCAGAGTTTGAACTTTGTAGGTGAAGAATTATATCCCGTGTAGAAGTAAATGTGTTGAAGAATTTGGCAGGGACTAGTGTAGCCATGTCATAAGGTATGTGCAGGAATTAAGTTGCGTTCTCTACATTAAAGTCAATAAGCTTGGTCTTGTTCCCTGAATCAGCTCTCACCTTGCTAGTTGCAAACTGGGTGTTTTTATCATCTGTAAGGGTTGTGTCTGTTACCCATTGGTTTCAGCACTGCAGTTATTCACCCCACAATAAAACACATCTACACTGTACTGATTCACACAGGGGCCTACCTAGGGTGGACATTTTTTTCTTTGCCTGTGGATAGCCAGTTAAGGTCGGATTTTCTCACCCGAAAAAGCCGCTCGGGGTGGGTTTTTTTACCCGCAAATTCTTCAACCTTGCAATTGCACTTTGACCCAACCAAGTACGGCGTCTTAATACGTCAACCACAGAAATGAATACATAATTCTTTAACGAGTGTACACGTCTTCCGTTGAACAAATTAGGAAAATTATGTGAGTTTACACGTCATCCGGTGTCAAGTGGTGAAGAAAACGCTGTGATGAATGCTTAATTTGCCTCTCACAACTCCTTCATGCTGGATTTTGGATGACGATTTCCCAAACTGTTTCTTCATGTGCCTCGGATAATCCCGACAGGGGTGTGAGTGGCCAACAGCTAGCAGAAAGTTGAAAGTTCCAATACTTTTGTATAGACCAGGTGTACAAAAAAGCTGAAAGTCAGGGTCAACATCTAAACAAAAACTTAAATCAGCTAAGCGGCTGAATTCTCACACCCCTGATCCAAATGCCTCTGAAACTGTTTTCAGAAGGGGGAAACATTCTGTGGGTGTGTACAAGTCCACACAATGTCTCACCCGACTTCTGGTGTTGGCACATTAGTTATATTCCGCTTATGCACCAAACTACATGCCCAGCACTGAGGCAGTACGGGAGTAAATGGGTGGTTTGAGGCAGTACAGCCTCTAGAAATGTAAGAAAACGATAGACTACAAGTGAAAAATCATCGTCATCTGTATCAAACGGGTGCCATAATTTCTTTTACTTTTCTGTGTAAAAACAAATAAGAGATCTATAACCAGTCCGATCTGTACAAATTCCAATTGCAGTGGAAAAGTTTGAACAATTACACCGGAGCATTCATGCTAATCAGGGCCGTGTTAACCAAGAAGGTACCCTTCAATAATTAGTGAAATTTAAAAACCCATGTAACTACATTGGTTGCATCTTGACACACAAAAAATTGACCAACAATTTTCAAAGGTCAGTTTCTTTGAAAAGTCAAGTGCCTCACTTTATTTGAACATTGAATCAAGCATTTTATTGAAATTAGATTTTGAATTTTTGGATACAATCCATATCATTCTCAGCAACTGTTCACTGAGAAGCACGACTGAGTGACTGTTGCACAAGGTCATGTTATTCATTTAATTTTCCAAACTTTGTAAATTGATTAAAAAAAATGTTCATACATGATCAACATACGTGATGCTTTGCCTTGTCTGTGTGAATGCCTTCTACACGAACAGCACTTGTGCCAGCTGGTGGCAGCATTTGGGGTACAAGAGAAGTGAAATGACAAATCCAACTATACAATGAACAAAATGTTTGATATGAGTTGTCCTCTCCTTGTGCAAACTTTGAATACCATGTACATGCACAAGAGGTGTCAGGACTACACACATACTCTCAATCAGATCTGATGATGTTTAAATATTGGCAAGGAGAGATTACAAGTACTATTCTTAAAAAATGCTGTCATGCTCATGGTCGAAGATGCCCGGGCTGGATAAATATCCCCCTCCTCTGACCTGTGGGGCCACAGGCCATTCAGTCACACCCTGCTTTACAGCCAGATGACGGTGGGACATTACGCAGATTGGCAGGTTACTTGTAAACTTTCTGACCCTACTGTAATTCCCTGGATCCCAAGACATCTTATCATGGCTCCAACCGCGTCCTTCAAGGGGAACCTTTGTGTCCACAGCCATGATGGCAATACTCTTTCAATATGCCATCACAATCTAAAATTCACTATGTACAACCCAACAAGATCAATTATAGTTCTGTTCACAAACTGTCCATGAGCAAGACCTTTGATTCGCACCTTTTCCTTGGGCTTTTAAAATACAAAAATTATATAAATGTACAGTGTACAGATATGTAGAATACGCCTTTGAAACGTCTGCCTAATGCCAATCAGATGAAATTTGAAATATTTGATAACAGCCAAACTAAATATTTTGTAAACTACCTCGAAATTTCAGCAAAACACTGGACTGAAAAGCACACATCTCTACAACACAATAGACCAAAAATTACACGAAAAACTACGCAATTGCATTCCTCATGTTACACCTTTAAAATACTAAATGAGGATCATTTATGTGCTCAATTCTTCAGACATAATTACAGCTTCACTGCATTTTAAAGTGCCTGAAATTAGCACTGATGAATATTGACACACTTACACGCATGGTTAAACACTGCACTACTTCCTTTGTGTTATTCCACGAGACATCCACAACCCAACGAGTGGAATGATGGTACTGACGTCATGTCCTGCCTTATGGTTCCACTTTTGTTTGTCGCACATGGTTAAATATGAGCCCAAAGCCCATGCGGGCACGTCCCATTACATGTACTTCTTTCTCTTCACAACAAAACATAATCATGTCAAGGGGACACGTAGCTTGTGGTTGGGGATTTGCAGCTTGCAATCACATGGTCCAGGGTTCGATTCCCAGCAGATGTGCTCTGTGTGTTGTGATCTTGGGCAAGTCATTTTATCCCCACGTGCCTCTCTCCACCCAGGAGTAAATGGGTACTGGTGAGTGCAGATAATGGTCAGTGTTTAGCCATGAGTGCCTAAAAGGGCAGCATCGGGCTGGCATATTCCCAAGAGAGCTGAAATGGCGTCAGGAATGTTTAGATGTGAGCCATGATGGGCAGGGATGACAATGATGATGCATGGGCACCTCTGAATGCCAGCAATTGTTAGATGTTTTTCACCTTGTAAATCCTGTCATATTATGATCAATCTCTGACACCTGCAAAGAGGAAGCATCTTAGATACCTGCACAAGTGTCTATGACACATTTCTAGTTGAGTTATCGGTAATTACAGGTCCCTTCACACAAACACGTCATAAGGATTAAGAGTGAACAATGACGAAGGAATGTTTAAGCAGCATCGCATATGAATAGCTTGGGAATGAATTTAAGACTGGGTGATGTTACAGCCCCGAGATGGATTCAACTACAACACTGGGCGTGCACATTACGTAAAAGGGGCAGGACAGCAACGGGTATGCCCTCTAAAGATGCAGTTAACATGGGACTACTTGTTAACCTGGTAGTTAATGGCAAAGAGTGCAACTGACACAGTTAGACTGAGAAGCACAGGGGGTTGGGCCCATAACACAGTTGGTGACGATGGGAGACAAGTGATGGTGGCAAATGGAGTGGTCCCCACGACTGGTCCCCACTGTTGGTGTGTTTGTCACATTTGAACTAATGTGGGCAAGCGGCAAAATCGTGCAAACAATAATGAACTGGTCATGCAGAACTGGCCTATTTTTCACCATCGAGTACATGTATCTAAAAAGTCCCCCCACCGGGTTCACCATGCAGTGAAAGAATGGCATTTTAGACACCTGTGTGAAATAGCATGTTGTAAGGGAACACCATTTATCGCTGGAGGACGCAACACATTTGCTTGATGGAAGTCTTTCGGTGACTTTTTGTAACACAATACCGGAACATAAGCTGTGCCGATTGGAAACATACTCCAACATGAGAATGTGACCCCACATCGTACCAGTTGTCAACATAATGTACCCTCGCTGTTATTGTAAACAAACCAAATGTTAACCCTCCTTTAGTTTAACGGCACAAATATGCACTAAGTGCCCACAGTAACTCTCTCGCATGCTTTTTCTACATGGAACACAAACATGCACAGGTTCAGTGTGTACACAGTTGGTTGCCAGCACAAACTGACCCAGGGTATTTTGTACAATCCTCTTCACTGCATTTGGTTTACTGCACAATAATGCACATGAAACAGCGAGGCACAGTTGTTGGACAGCACAAAAGTGCAACCTGGTATTCCTGTGAGGGACAGTTGGTGCAGTGCACAAAATGACACAGCTGTGCTTCTTGGAGGTGTTTACCAAGTGACCCTAAGAGTGACTTCAGCATAGGAGGGTTAAGGTGCAGTGGAGATGGAATAAAAACATTGAAATGCTACCCCTCCATACACATGTACATGTAATTGGCACAGACATCTTTCTTTTCCAGTCTAACCATCCATACAAGAAGTTTGACTAGCCAACCTTCTACAGTCTCAAATAACTAGTTTTTGATAAGAAATACCTCTGGTCTGCAAATCCTCATTTGACCTTGGTTAGCTACTAAATTTCCGGCAATTTAAATTGTAATTATAAATTTATACACAAGTTCAATGTACAATAATTTACAGTGGTCAGGAAATATAATACAACCTTCAAATATACATGTCTGGAAAGTCCGAACAAGTGGGACTTCTGGTTGGAAGAACAGAAACCGGCGCTGCATTACAAAATCTGATTACAGGGAATAATTTCAGTGAATTTGCAAAGCGACCTGTTTCTGCCATCGCAACACCCATCCATATTTACAACAAACCACTGCAGTGCGCAGTGAAGCATACGTGTATGGTAACTTCAAATGCAGAATATCCTGAACTGTGGACAAGCAATGCAAAAATCTCCATTCAAATGCATGCTCAAGTACGTACACGCATGCATTGGTGTGTCCATGCCGTGAAATACGTTTTGAGGTTACCAGAGTTTTTCTGCTTCACTGGGTGCACCTTGTCTGCTGACAGGCAGTGAGCATGAAATTGCTGGAATTACGCAGCTCGGGGATGTTAGCCAAGTACATCTCCAGAACCTGACATGGAGGCCAGAAAAGCCTAAATGGGTCATTCCATGAGGTTGGGACACAATTTGTGACGGTGTCCTTGTTACATCGTATTCACTTTTTTCCATCTGTCATGACCTGTAGAGTAGGTCATTTACTCGGTAAAAACAACACTCCTCTGTATTCAGCCTTGCAAACTGTATAGCAATGGCAAGTTGGAATCCGCATGCAGGGAAATAATTGTTCATGTTTACGTAACCCATGTAACAATTGGTATCTTCACAAATTGTGCCCCAACCTCATGGAATGACCCAAATATATGCCTCCTCTAATATTAATAAGGGCCTGAAAGTGGCCCATTTGAAGTGGAAAAAGCCTGAAATTGGGCTATTGCCTGAAAACTGGCATCCCTGACTACTGCTTTTACCGCCACCACAAGAATTAATTTCTATCCCGAGTGTATCAATGTTATCACTGAAATTCAGGGTGCTAAGTCAATCATGAAAAAAAAAATTACAAGAGATTACTTGGTGCATACTGTAATACAAGTGACTCCATCCTGTACAGTTACTAATCATCTCTTAGTACACAGATCTACAGCACTTAACTCGGTCCATTTGCAAGTTTGGGCAAAAAAAAATACGGATATTACTAGTATAACTTGGTACACTATGGGGAATGCTGAAATCCTCAAACTCCTGTCAAATTGTCAAGAGAGTAGCAGTTTTTTGGCAACACCCACTATTTTGTCCCATATTAGGCAACAAAGTTCAACGAATTCTCCAACAACTTTTTCGAGTTGAAACAAGTTCCTACTGTGTCAGTTTGATCAAATTGCAGAAGCAAGATCTCCAGGCTGCTCTGGGCCTCATTTCATGGCAACAAAAACACAAGTGGCAAGTGACAAGTTACAGTTTGGAGTAAAATAGGCTGTTTTTTTTCTTAAATGCGACAAGAATCTCTGGCATTTGGGGCATAACCAGACTGTAATGCAGGTGCAATTTCTGCCATTTTACTTGAAAAAGGATTGACCAGTGCATTTTTTTTCTTAGCAATCTTACCCCATGCAGTTCCTAACCTGGGAATTAATCATTTTAAAGATGAACAAAGAAATTGACTGGAGTGGGACTTGAACCTGTGACCTCTCAACACCATACTAAAACACCTTACCCTGTACCAGAGCATTGGTACGGTGTTCTGGAGGTCGCAGGTTCAAGTCCCACTCCAATTTCTTTGTTCATCTTAATCAATTAAAATGTGAGCACCTTGTCAGTCTCCCTAAACAGTTTGTTTGATGATATGACTGGGAATTAACAGTGCTTGGCAAATCCGGCAGTGGGATCCTAAAACTACGAGAAAGTCAAACCACACGAATGTGTCTTTTAATGGAGTACCTACATGTATGACAATTGTAAGATTCAAAGGCCTATTTTAACACTTAAAAACCACCTTGGCTCATAAGTAACAGCAAAGTGCATGCACACAATGTAGTGTTCTAATGTGTCAGATCTTTGAGCGGACTTTTTTCCTTTTTTTGAACGTGCAACACTATCACAAACAGAACGTTGGAGAACTTGTAG